TTTATTTTAACAGTCTTGTTTTCTGGTGGACTATATGATTTACAAGAGTTAAGAGTAGTTAACCCTGAGTTGTGTGTTTATATCATATTATAAGCTCGAATTTGGGTTTGATCTGTTATTCATCGTGTGTTCTTAGAGTTCAAATTTAGCTTACAGTGACACAATATCAAAACAAATATGGTTGATAGAGAAAAAGTTTAGATGGTTTTTAGGATATATATGTATAAAACTGTAAAAATGGTTAGCAAAATCATGATATTTGTTTGAACATTTCAAGTGGTAAGTGTAAGTCATATCTATATTTTTAGTTTTTTTTTTTAAATAAAAAAATCAACACTCAACATTCAAACTATATATAAATATATTGAAAAAGTACAAGTCGCTCGACGGTACGTTAGCAAATAGCAACCAATTCTAGCAATTGATCACTCACATAAACGTAAGCAAAACTAACATCATGTGGACGTTGACAGTAGAAATCAATGCTAAGGTCAGCTAAAATGTATGTAAAGGTTTCCAAAGAGTTTCAAGATCATTGGACCTCTAAAAACTCAAGAATCTGTTCCAGATTTATTTTCCAAAAAGATATTAATAGTCTGATTTGAAGTATCCATGCATGATGCATGCATAATTATTTATCGTCTGATTTGAAGTATCCATGCATAATGCATGCATAATTAATTACCGTCTTAACCTTTCTATAAACATTTATTCTCTTATGAATATAAATTTAGAAATAAGGATCATTATTTTGGCTAACTCCTTCGACCGTAACCCCAAACTAAGGACTTGTTGCCACAATCCTGGAATTGTATTAAATAACGCTCGTTCGGTCCAAATTTTGTTAGTTCGTAAAATCGTCTGTATTCAACTCCCACACCTCCGTTATGTTTTATAACTCACCAACTTATATCCCCCAAAAATCTAGAGAGATTCTCTTTACATATTAACCAAATTTAGTACTTTGATAAGTTAAGAAACTAAAGAAGATTTGTTAAATTCATTTCATCAAGCTGATTTCGTGGGCCATATGTAATCAATTATAGTTACTAAAAGAAACAAGACCTAAACTCCAAACACTTTCACAAAGTTGACTTGATGCCTTTTCCAACATTTTATAAATACACACCTTCCTCACAATACGGCCATACCATAAACAAGAAATTAAACAAGAAAAAACAATGGAACTCTTGCTTCCACACCCATCAAACTCAACGCCTCTCACCGTCCTCGGCTTCTTAGACCGAGCCGCCTCCGTCTACGGTGATTGTCCGTCCGTCCTCTCCCCAAACACCGTCCACACTTGGTCAGAAACCCACAACCGCTGTCTCCGAATCGCCTCGGCTCTCACTTCCTCCTCTCTCGGGATAAACCGAGGACAAGTCGTCTCCGTCGTTGGCCCCAACGTCCCCTCCGTATACGAGCTTCAGTTCGCCGTCCCCATGTCCGGAGCCGTCCTCAACAACATCAACCCTCGCTTAGACGCACACGCACTCTCCGTCATCCTGCGTCACAGCGAATCCAAGCTCGTTTTCGTCGACCACAACTCCATCTCTTTAGTCCTCGAAGCAGTCTCGTTCTTGGGAAAACATGAGAAACCTCACCTCGTCCTCCTCCACGACGACCAAGAAGACGACTCTTCCTCCGCATCGGATTTTCTTGACACGTACGAAGGCATCATGGAGGGAGGAGACTCAAGATTCAAATGGATCCGTCCACAAACTGAATGGCAACCGATGGTGCTCAACTACACTTCTGGAACGACGTCGTCTCCCAAAGGAGTATTGCTTAGCCACAGAGCCATTTTCATGCTCACTATCAGCTCCTTGCTAGACTGGTCCATACCAAACCGGCCGGTTTACCTCTGGACCTTACCCATGTTCCACGCCAACGGTTGGGGTTACACTTGGGGCACCGCTGCCGTCGGAGCCACTAACATCTGCACGCGTAGAGTCGACGCGCCGACTATTTACGACTTGATCGATAAGCATCACGTGACACACATGTGCGCTGCACCGATGGTTCTCAACATGCTCACTAACTACCCTTCACGTAAACCGCTAAAGAACCCGGTTAAGGTATTCATAACTATCCCGGTTCAACTGTATTTAGACATTTGGAGAACTTTTGACACAACTCTGTTTTGGGTTTATGAATTTCAAATTCAGGTTATGACGGCCGGAGCTCCACCACCGGCAGCAATCATCTCCCGAGCAGAATCACTCGGTTTCAATGTCGGTCATGGGTACGGTTTAACGGAAACCGGAGGCCCGGTTGTGTCATGCGCTTGGAAGAGTGAGTGGGATCATCTTGATCCGGTGGAGAGAGCAAGACTGAAATCAAGACAAGGTGTAAGAACCGTTGGATTTGCGGAAGTCGACGTGAGAGACCCGAGAACAGGGAAGAGTGTGGAGCACGACGGAGTTTCTGTAGGAGAGATCGTTTTCAAAGGCGCATCGGTTATGCTCGGTTACTACAAAGATCCCGAAGGTACCGCGGCGTGTATGAGAGAGGACGGGTGGTTCTACACCGGAGACGTTGGGGTGATACACGAAGACGGTTACTTGGAGGTTAAAGACCGGTCAAAGGATGTGATCATATGCGGAGGAGAGAACATAAGCAGCGCGGAGGTTGAGACGGTTCTGTATACGAATCCGGTGGTGAAGGAAGCTGCGGTGGTGGCTAGACCGGATAAGATGTGGGGAGAGACGCCGTGTGCATTTGTGAGCCTGAAGTATGATAACAATGGTGATGGGTCGGTGACGGAGAGGGAGATAAGGGAGTTTTGTAAGACGAAGTTACCAAAGTATATGGTTCCGAGGAAAGTGATTTTTCAGGAGGAGCTTCCAAAGACTTCTACAGGGAAGATTCAGAAGTTTCTTCTCAGACAAATGGCAAAGTCCCTGCCTTGAAGAATCATCTTGAGTTATTGAGAATGTGAAGTAACTCGATGGAGTAAATAAAGTCTTTATCTTTTGTGATGTATTAATGTACCCTTAAGAGGGGGATTAGTTTGTAAAACTGATGAAACATGCTTGCTATTTTATTGTCATAAGATTTTCAAGGAAAGAGTTACTTATAATCCGAAGTATACGACTCTACGTATGTACCTAATCCGGTTAATCAATTTCATGTACACGACTCTGTTCGTCACATGAACTAAACGAAACGACGACGTTTCCTCACCAACGGGCCTAGTTATTTATAAATAATGGGCCCGATTTGTAGTATTACGACTCATAATGGGCCCTTATTGATACATTACGCATATTATTGACACGTAAAAACGAGTATGAGTCATTGATTGCTTCATACGTATGAAGTTTTTGAACGTAAACTTTCAAATATTTGCCCTTTATATTTCATGTATAGTCGACTGAAAAGTTGGTTTAATTCAAATATACTATCGAAAATAAAATTGGTTTGAATGAGAAACAAAGTTTAATGGAATCATAAAATGTAACATTTATGAAATATCTCACATTGGAAGTTTGAGGTGAAATTCTCTTGTAAATAAAGTGTAAAAATAAGATATTTGGACTGAACTTTTTTTCAGATTTTGGGATTTGACAATCGGATCAACGATCTTTAAGATTATTCTTTTGACCACTGAATTTTGTTGTTGAAAATAAACAACAAAATATCTCTTTTCATTAATGTTGGTAACAAAGTAATTAAGAAGAACATCAATTGTAATTTTTGTAAATTATGAAACTAATTGCATGTTGAATCATTAAGGTGAGAATGAATTGTCAATTCCACTTTATTGGACTATGTTGGTGCATGAGGCTATTATAAAGCCATGTTTTTCCTTCTTCTCTTAATACATCAACAAATATGTGATCAAACACAAGTAACAACAATCTCTCACTTTTCTTCTTTTATTTTGTTTTTCTTATGAAAGTACATCACAATAAACATGCTTCGCAAACCTATGATTAAAGTGATACAAATATAAGAAGTGTGAATTTTTATCCTAGGATTCGGAACACCATGCAATAAAATTAAAGAATTAGATCATATCTTGACTCTGCAAATCCAATTTTGTTTCCCTTAATTCTTGTTTATATATCATTTTAATATTTTATTTATATTAATTTATTTATATATTGCATTTTATAATTATCAATCACCCATTGTAGGAATTTCGATTGTTTCTCTATATGGCCATGGTATATCAAGTTGTTTGTCAATACTTAGTAACAAAGTATTTTGAAAGCGAACTCAAACTAGTCTACAGAATTTATGGAAGAGACGGATAATCTTTAGCAATTGAAGTTTACGGTGGTCAAACGTAATCGAAATCTCAATGGTAGACTTCGGATTTTGGTTTATATTTATACACCACGTCTCTATCACTATATAGCAGTTGGTTATCAACTTGTTTTTTTATAATCAAATGGTTTTTTTTATTAAATATATGATTTAATATCTAGAATCATAGACAGAATAATAGACTTACAGTTAATTATGAGCTGTATATGTTCATAATTTGAGTTTAGTTACAGTCTGGATTCATTCAGTGTGTTGTTCATTTTGTATTTTTCCAAGGTTTAATCATAGTGTAGTGTTAAAATTTTAGTAAATTGCTAAAACCAACAACCTTAAATATTTTAGTGTAGATGGTAATGGTTAAGGTATAGAACTGTAGCTGGGCCTAATATATAATTTGTTAGTTGAACCTGATCCCAATTTTATATGTCAACTGTCTAAAGATTCTTCATTTTATACCCACCAACATTTTATTATACCTTGTTTATTGTATATAAATTAAATAAAACACTAGCGATTCTCTCATTTATTGGTTAAATTTAGTATTTTATTATGATTAAGATACTAATGCAAAAAGTGACAACAATAATAAGACACAAACTACACGTTCCATTAAAGATTGAAACCCTTCTCACTTCAAGATTTTATAAATGATACAAACACCTATTAAGTCTTTCCACAAACTTCAAAGTTTTAACCAGAACAAAGACATAAACAAGAATCAAAGTATGGAACTCTTACTTCCACACGCATCAAACTCAACACCTCTCACCGTCCTCGGCTTCTTAGACCGAGCCGCCTCCGTCTATGGTGATTGTCCGTCCGTCCTCCACTCCCCAAACACCGTCCACACTTGGTCCGAAACCCACAACCGCTGTCTTCGAATCGCCTCGGCTCTCACTTCCTCCTCTCTAGGGATTAACCGAGGCCAAGTCGTCTCCGTCGTGGGCCCAAATGTCCCGTCCGTTTACGAGCTGCAGTTCGCTGTCCCAATGTCCGGAGCCATCTTAAACAACATCAACCCACGTTTAGACGCGCATGCACTCTCCATCCTCCTGCGTCACAGCGAATCCAAACTCGTTTTCGTCGACCACAATTCTATCTCTTTGGTTCTTGAAGCAGTCTCGTTCTTGGAAAAACACGAGAAGCCACACCTCGTCCTTCTCAACGACGACCAAGAGGACGATTCTTCGTCGGCTTCGGATTTTCTTGACAGTTACGAAGGGATCATGGAGAAAGGAGACTCGAGATTCAAATGGATCCGTCCTCAAACAGAGTGGCAACCGATGGTTCTCAACTACACTTCTGGAACGACGTCGTCTCCCAAAGGTGTAGTGCTTAGCCATAGAGCAGTTTTCACGCTTACCGTTAGCTCTTTGCTTGACTGGTCTTTACCGAACCAACCGGTTTACCTTTGGACTCTACCGATGTTCCACGCCAACGGTTGGGGTTACACGTGGGGCAACGCGGCTGTCGGAGCCACCAACGTTTGCACGCGTAGAGTCGACGCACCGACTATATACGACTTGATTGATAAGCACCACGTGACTCACATGTGTGCTGCACCGATGGTTCTCAACATGCTAACCAACTACCCGTCCCCTAAACCGCTCAAGAGCCCGGTTCAGGTATTAATAGATAATTATGTTCTTTGGTTTATTGCTTAGCTGCATTTAATGTTTGAAACGATCGTTACACAGTCACTTGGATAAACATTAAATAATTTCTGAGATCAGGTTATGACCGCCGGAGCTCCACCACCGGCAGCGATTATCTCACGAGCAGAATCACTCGGTTTCAATGTCAGTCATGGGTACGGTTTAACAGAAACCGGAGGACTAGTTGTATCATGTGCTTGGAAGCGTGAGTGGGATCATCTTGAACCATTGGAGAGAGCAAGATTGAAATCAAGACAAGGTGTAAGAACCACTGGCTTTGCGGAAGTCGACGTTAAGGACCCGAGAACAGGGAAGAGTGTGGAGCACGACGGAGTTTCTGTAGGAGAAGTCGTGTTCAAAGGCGCATCGGTTATGCTCGGTTACTATAAAGACCCGGAAGGTACCGCAGCGTGTATGAGAGAGGACGGATGGTTTTATACCGGGGACGTTGGGGTGATACACAAAGACGGTTACTTGGAGGTGAAAGACCGGTCAAAGGATGTGATCATATGTGGAGGAGAGAACATAAGCAGCGCGGAGGTTGAGGCTGTTTTGTATACAAATCCGGTGGTGAAGGAAGCTGCGGTGGTGGCTAAACCGGATAAGATGTGGGGAGAGACACCGTGTGCTTTTGTGAGCTTGAAGAATGTTAACAATGGTGATGGTTCGGTTCCGGTTACTGAGAAAGATATAAGAGAGTTTTGTAAAACAAGGTTACCTAAGTTTATGGTTCCGAGGAAAGTGATTTTTCAGGAGGAGCTTCCAAAGACTTCTACTGGAAAGATCCAAAAGTTTCTTCTCAGACAAATGGCAAAGTCTCTATCTTGAACAAGTCCATGAAATATAATACTTAATATTTGCTTGGAATCACATTATTGTATCCTTAACATGCTTTGAAAAGAACATAAAGTAAACCATTATGATCAATAGTGAGGACTATATTGCAAAATACAAATGATTTTGAAGTATATCTTTTTTTTTTTTTTTTTTTTCCTTTTGAAGTATATCTTATATCTTTTTGAAGTATATCTTATAGTAAACCATTTGAGGTTTTTCATACCTTAAAAATAGAGTGATGCTCTTAGCTGTATATTTTTTGTTTCGTATCGAACTATATATTGATTTGGGCTCGTGGTTCATGTATGTTAATGTTTTCATAAATTATTTAAATGGCCGAAAGGTAAAACTGTAAAAGGTAGAAAAAGGAGAGCAGGCCAAATGGCTAATCCATATCGTGCTTAACTATGGAAATCATAATATGTGGCTTTCAGTATCTGAATTAATTAAATACTTAGTTGCAGCATCATTGGTTATCAAAGGAAGCTTAATGAAAAAGACCACGTGTGGAGAAATGACAGACTAATAAAACAAGAAACATTATTGTTACCATTACATGTTTGCTTGTAGGATAAGAATAAGATCACATCATCGACTGATAAATTGAAGGCAAAATCTATGAGCTTATATTATCATTGAGACGACAAAAGAGATTCAGACAGAGAGGAAATAGATCGATGAGCTACGTAAAGAAAGTGGTGGATGAGGATGGAGATTGGCGACGGTTGGGGGCGAAACAAGAGAGTGTGTTCCCAAAAGAGAGGAAGCTGGTGAAGACGATGATTTTGAAAGCTCTGTTTCCATCTCGATCTCCTTTGAAGTCCAAGCAGACAGTTGAGCCGCCGAGGGGGAAGCGCGTGCAGCCCACGCTCCGGTAGCTTTAAAATGCTTAATGCTATATCTTGTTTCTGGATAATTATGATTAGAGAAAAAAAAAAATTTTGGGCTTAGGCCAATGATCTATTTGGGTTCAGGACTAGAACATGTTATATTAATTTTCTTTCCGGAGTGATATCTTTTTCTTTGGAAAAGTTATATTAAAGATGATATGTGTTGTTTGCTTTTCTTTAAGAGAAATAGATATGTGCTGTTAATTTTTCAAATTTTCTCTGTATAACATATATTCTTCGAGTTTTCTTGTTTATCTAAGATTTCTAGTTGACTTCAATTAATGTTTTCACTGAAATCAAACTATCGAAGAGACTGAGAGGAGCTTCAAAGGCTAAAAACTACAAAATCTAGTTCTTGATGTCGTGCTGTCGTATAAAGTACAATGAACCAATGTCATTTCATGTCGATAATCTAAAAGAAATCTAATATGGCGAGACAAAAAGAGAATATGGTATCAAAAGTTATACGCATGCCTTAACGACCCTACTGCTTGGTTGAAATATTTTATGGTCTGGATTCACACTTTTCGATTGTGTAACATATACTCACTCTTTTTCAGAATGTAAGATGTTTGAGGTTTTTCACAAAAAATAAAAAACATCTAATGTGTAAATTACTTTTTCACACCAACCACTTTTTAATAGCTTTTAACCAATCACAATTTAACTATTCAAATATTGATAATTTCATACGTGAATCATTTGTCTTTTGGCCGGAAAACGAATAAAATCGTATAATGAAATAAAAGTACAAAATAAGGGATATACAGTAGAAACTCTATAAATTAATACTCGATAAATTAATAAACTCTTTAAAATAATAATTTTTCTCTAGTCTCAAGTCGGGCCGGTGTAAAAATTAGCAAAATTCAATAAGATAATAAGATAATAATATTTTTGAAACTTCTATGTAAAATATGGTCCCATTAATATCATAAATCAATAATTACCATAAATAATATTATAAAAATATATATTTATGATAATATACTAAAATAGAAGTATACTTTTCACTTGTTTTTTATTAAAACTGAAATATAATTAGAATTTATCCCTAATTTTAAAATGGAATTATACAAAATAAAATAAACTTTTAAAATATAGTATTTTAATTTATTTTGATTATTATTTCAATTAATTATTAGTTAAAATTTATTTGGTTTAAAATCGATAATTTAATAACTCTATAAATTAATAAAATATCAAAGTTCCAACTTTATTAATTTATAGAGTTTCTACTGTATGTATAGTCCATAATAGTGTTTAAAATTGTCAATATTACTAAATTGGTTAATACGGTGGAAGTTATCCATAAACATGAGTTGGGAACACCACTTTTTGAACACTACATGTTCTTCCCGTCACTTCATGTCACATTACTAATTACTTAATTAGAGATATCTCTCCAAGACAAACAACCATGGTCCCAAGTACAAGAAAAGGAATAACAACGACGACCAGGATCCAGAGATTCAGGCCCACCGCTCCTAAATGTTCATTGATTTTTGAGCAACGTAACAACGCACATAATTTAGGAATTTTACTGCTGTAAAAAAGGTGTATATTGTATGTTCACTAGTATTAATTATAGAATTTTGTGGTTCATAAATCAAATTTGAAAGAACATAGTTACTCAACATTATTTTATATTTGGAAACTAAAAGTACGCATTTTATGCAGATAAAGTTAATTTCATAGCTCTAGTTACTCATATTTATGAACCAAGTAAATATGATATGAACGAATGTGTTTTTTAATCGGTAGTATGAAAAAATATGTTGGATTAATATTATTATGGTATCATTAAAATGAAACAACTAACCGATGATAATAAACAATTAATCATGCCAGTAAAACTCACGGCTTCTCGAAGGTGTATCAAATCGAGTATTTTCATTTGAAATTATTAACAATGTTTCGTATCTAATTTGAGCTCGTGTTTCTTGTGACAAAATAATTCTAAAATAATATTAATATGCAGTGTTCACATAAATAAAGTACTCCATACTTCTGAAGGCCGAAAGGTGAAGGTAAGTAAACAAATAAAAGAGAAAGTAGAGCAATCCAATCCATAGCATGATTAACCTGGAGACGAATAAGTGGCTTTAATCCACTAATAAGTATCTCAATTAAATTAACTAACTGCAGCATAATTGGTTCGTAAAGGAAGCTTAATGTACAAGGCCAAGGCCACGTGGGGAAATAACAAGACTAATAATGTAAGCATATGACTATTTTAACATGTTAGCTTGTAGAATAAGTCTCATCAACTAATAAATTGAGGCAAATCTAGGAGAAGTTGTCTTTAACACAACAAGAGAGGATTAAACAGAGAGTGAAGTAAGATGAGCAGCTCATCAACGAAACCTGCGGTGGCGACAGTGGTGGCTGTAGAGGATGGAGATTGGCGGTGGTTGGGGGCGAAGCAAGGGAGTGTGTTCCCAAAAGAGAGGAAGCTGGTGAAGACAATGATTTTGGAAGCTTTGTTTCCATCTCGATCTCCTTTGATGTCCAAGCAGAATGTTGAGCCGCCGCCGAAAAGCAAGCGCGTGCAGCCCACGCTCCGGTAGCCTTCAAGTGATCTGATCGCTCTCTTTTCAGGGAAAGCAATTTCTATTTTCTATGTACACTAGCTGACGTCTTTTTGTTCTTTTAAAAAAGAATAAACGATGTGTGTGTTTTTTCAATTTCAGCAGTTATTTTTGTATATAGTTTTATGATGTAGTACAAATAAATTTCTTAATGCTTTATTTAAGGTTGCTTCACCGAACACTGTAATTAAACGTCAGAAGATATAGATAAGCTTCGAACGGTAATTAAAAACAAAGCTTCAAACGCTATATTTTTTTTTGTCAACTCTTCAAACGCTAATTAAAAAGACAAAAAAAGCCAATGAATACTCGGATTTGTTGTCGAAGTGACAGAAAAATCTAATGATTTTGAAAAACCTGGTAGAATTAGTATAAGAATGGCTGAGTCCGAGATTAATTGTAGTTGGATCCAACGTCCATAAAACTTGCATAAATCTATGGCTTTTCGTCCAAGGCCAATGGAACAAAAATATGGCTAGATGATACACGATGCCACTAATTACTTCATTACTGTATTAGTTCATGTCTGGCTAGTACACAACAGCTGTTTCACGGTAATGTTAAAGGGAATCTTCTAAATTATCTAGTTTTATTTCAAACTTTATTTTTATTTGAAAAAAAAATCGCAATTTGCAACCGCAATTATTTATGGTTGTATTTGAAGATACTACAACCTATAATTGTGTTTTCTCCCTAATCCAATCTCCGCACGAATCTTTCATTTTTCCACACGAGAATCTGACAACAAAATCTTTTTTAGATCATAATTCATATTATAAGTCAATTTCCAGAAATAAAACTGGGCCCTTGACTGATATGTGTATCGTTCCTATATCCTTAATAACAAAGCATATTTAGTATTCTCACGATCATAAGAATCCATATAAATTGACAGTAATAACCAAAAATAAAGATATGGAAAAGAAAAAAAGAAACAAATGTAGTGGCTTTAACTATCCTGGCACGATCACATACAAGAATATTGTCTAGATCCATTACCTAAAAGCGAATCTACGTGGTGTGTTATTGCCTAGATACTGAATGTGTTTTACTGTTTTACTGGATTTATATTTAAAAGCCTTTTAATGTACTGTATTTTGATTGTTCATGAGCGATGTTGTTGTATATTTTATTGTGTTTGAAAATCTTTTAAATTCTACGAAATTAAATAAAATAAAAATTTACGCATCCACACAAAACTGGTGACTTCAACAATTACCATATGTGCCTAATGGTGTCTTCCCGCCTCCCGGTTCCTTGTACTTACGGTAGACTGGTCCTTAGCTCCCAAGTTGTCGTCTGCCTCCTCCTCATCTGCGAATAAATTAAATATATACGTATATTATCAAAGAACGGCGATCCCTGGAAATTTCGTACTACAATGTTAATGCCAGTTTTAAAATTTTAATTATTCAGGGCTTTATGTGTCCACATATATTCCAGAAATATACAAATGTTACGAAATTTTGGTGTTAGTTTCGCTTAGATTTAATATTCCACTTGAAACTTAAACCACAAGTACTAGAAGATGTAAATTAAATTTCCTCTTTACAGCAAATAGGTGGCTGACACGACATGGAACAACTTAGAGTAGAAGTTTAATTGTTAACAGTGCTCACTCCGGGAAAAATCTCTATATAAACCAACCCATTGTGCATGGCTTCATATCACAACTACAAAAAGCAACAAACAAACACACATACATTTATATCTTTAGGCTAAAGATGAGTTCCAAAGGAGACAGTTCTAGTTCTACGGCGGAGCGGAAGGTGAAGAAGAACGAAACAGCGAGTGTGATTCCCGTTAAGAGGAAGCTGGTGAAGACTATGGCCGTCGAAGCCATTATCTCTGCCTTTTCTCCCTCCGGTGGTGGCCGGAACTCTGACGCTACCGGTGACGGAAACGGAGGGCGCGTGTACCCCACTCGCTGACCGGTCTTTTTCTTGGGGTCGAAGTTATGCACCGTCGTGATCTTTTTCAGGTTTTTGTTTTATAAATGCTAGTGTCGTCGTTGTGTAAGCTTTTGGTAATTATGATCTTTATTTTTCTATTAAAAAAAAATCTGTTTCTATTGTTCGGTTTCTGGTAGAGGTGACGATTATTACTATATCCTCTTTTGTAAAGATTATAAGTTGTGAGAATTATGAGCGGGTTGTGTTTGTGGTAATAATATATGTCTTAGAGCAGTACTCCTTTCGTATATCATATTTTATTAGTTTCTAACTATTCTAATTAACATTCTAATTCAATATGCCACCATACTGTCTCGATAATCGAATTTCATAAACAAAATTAGGGGTATGTAGATTGGGTTTTTACATGAAATTAATTAGGGAGCAGCTGGAAAATGCATTTTGAACAAGGTTGCTATCAGTGTGTGAACGTATAGAAGCATGTGCGTGACTCGTACGTGAGTACGGAAATAGCAAATATTGATATAATTATTGAGTTGACTTTATATACGTATTTGCGTGTGAATTAAATTTTTATGTTTATTCAAATCTACCTTTAGAGCAATTAAGAATTAACCAAAACACTAATTGTAATGTGCGCAAAATTTATTATAAACACTCTTTTTTCACCTTCGGTCTTTACTCTTTACATTAAAAAGAAAGTCATGTCATTAGTCATTACCACAGTGTAAACAAAAAAAAGTGTCATGTCTTTGACTCTACCTGCTGCTTCGCAATAATAGAAATACGAATCTTCCAAAATCACTAATGGCGTTTTTATGTTTCGGAAAAAGGATCACATCCTCTGTTAGTTATAATCGTACTAATTTCCTGGTAATCTCCCCGTTCACGTTCACACTGTATCTTTGACAACAACAACATCTTTATCTCTATAAATCCCTTTCTATATATGCATACAATACATTAATACTCCTATATATATATATACACACACAAAATAAAACAACATCTCGCTTAACTGTGTTGTTCCTAGCAAGCAATATACCAAAGCATTTTTTTATAGTAAGCCAGGAAGAAAAACAAATAGAATAAAGATCAGCAAAAATAAATTATACGAAAAAGGAAAAAACACACACACACACGCAAAAGGGGCCAGTTCAATTTTAACTCAAATTAAGTTATTTTTTGTTTGTCAAACATATATAGTTATGTTCTTACACACTTATTTCCAGAAGGTCTCATCATCTATTGATTGAGGTTTTTCTTCTAATAAGTTTTACTTTGTGCATAGCTGGTTATATATAATACAGTAATATTTTTTGGTCAAAAAAGAAAAAAAAATGTTGGTCAACAGTCAACAGTCAACGTCAAAAAGATTTGAAGATATTGTTGTAAAGCTAGTCATGAATTCGTGTTTTGAAAAATTGCATGGTCGCGGCGGTATAAAGGAATAAAATATTTTGGACTAGTGTTAAATGCCAAGAAAATAGAGAACATGCACTAACGCTACAAGCTCAAATGCAAGTACCAGTCACTTAAACGGGCATTTCTTTCTTTATTTTATCTGTTGTTCAGTAAACAATTAGCTTTCTCTATTTTTTTACTTTTATTGACCAAAGCCTTGACAATTAGCTTTTTCTCGTTGTATTCGAACTTCACTTATTGTTTGTTAATAAAATATATAAACTTCTGTTTCAACTTTCAACTTACAACTATTGTCATCCAGGTTCTTTGCACCGATGGTATAGTCGAGTGAACGGTAGTTCCCAAGCTGATGCCATTCAGTAAAATGTGAAATTCACTAGCTCTAAAATATAATTTAATTATTAATGTGATATCTGGAAATTTCATACTGTCTGTTATAATTATTATTTTGTTTTATTTAGCATGGGAGTGAGATAATTTATGTGGATCCGCATAAATATTACAAATGTCCAAATCAGATGTAAGTTTCACTTTATTTGTTCAGCAAATAAGCCTGCCACGTAGTGTGAACATATATCAACTTGTTGCCATTAAAAACAAAAACGACTTATCCCCACATTTTGCTTAAGCACGAGTTTAAGTTTCGATCAAGGTACTCACTTATGGTAAAAAAAAATTCTCTATATAAACCCCCACATTTTGCTTCTCAGCAAAGTTGCCAAGGAACACACACACACACACACACACACACACACACACACACACACACACACACACACACACACACACACATTTATCCATAGGTTTAAGAAGATGAGCTCCGGGAAATTGAAGCCGTTCAAGAAGAAAGAAGGGAGTGTGATCCCCAAGAAGAGAGAGTTGGTGAAGACTAAATCCGTCAAAGCCATTTTCTCTTTCCTCTGTCCCTCCGTTTGTAAACAGTACTCTGAGCCATCCGGTGACGGTGACGATGACGCCGACGGTAGGCGCGTGTACCCCACTCGCCCCTGATCGGTCTTTATAATGGGGTTGAAGATAATATAGCCGTCACGATCATTTATGGGTTCTTCTCCGGCAACCTCTGTTTTTCTGTGGTTTATAGCATATTTAAGTAGACGGAAGCTGTTGACCAAAAAAAAAAAAGTAGACGGAAGCTTACTTGGGCTAGAGATCTTGTGTTTTCTTTTCGGTCTTCGAGGAAGGAGATAGTTCATGGACTATAGATTAATATGTTTGTTCCTCTTCCTTTGAAAAATCCACTATATGATCATAAAGCGTTGTGATTATTTTATTTATAGGTTCTACCGTACTAGTGTAGTCTTCAAAACATGCTCTCTACTTTTTGTTTGTATAGAAAAGCATATTCTGAAATAATTTTGATTATATGATGTAGTTTTTTTTTTAGTATAATATGCAAAGAACCTGCTGTTTCGAAATCCAGAAGTTTTCTTGATAACGATATAAGGAAAAAAAGAAAAAGAAAGGCGGAGACCGGAAGTCTGTAAAGAAAGGTGGCTGCACACACAAATTTCATTATCCATCAAATAGGAGGCATCAATATACAATAATACAAAAGTTATTAATTAAGTAAATGTGAAAAAGAAAAAGATTATTAAAAACAAGAAAAACTTCTATATGTGGGGTGGCTTTGAAATTTTTCACATTAAAAGTTATGCAATATATATGGGTAGGACTGAGACTTGTCTTATGTATGTGTCTTCTCCCATTTTTTTAAACTCACTTCTTTCAGCAAAACTTCCTTACAGTTTAACTTTTTTTTTGTAACGAAGTTATATAATACTCCTCAAAATATTAATAAGAATCATAAACTTTTCTCAAAATAAAAGAAAAGAATAAGAATCTACGAAAACGGAAAAAAACAAAGAAAAATACAACCCTTCGTGTATTTCCTGACTAAGAGACATCAGGGCCCCACCTGAGTAAGCAAGGTTGTCGTCACCAATGACGTGGCAGAAATCAAGTGTTGACGTCAGTGCTGATCATTGCCTTTGATTTTCATCGGATTCAGGTTTTCTTCTAAAAATAGTTAAAGTTCCTTTATTTTGTTCGGTAAGCAAATTCCTTATTTGTGTCAAATTTAAGGATAGCTTCATATCGTGATGGATGATGTCTGACATATCACTCACATAAATGGGCCTAGGCCTCTTAAACTAATCCGGTTTTTATTGGGCTTTATATTAACCGTTAACACTCGAAAGACCCCCGCCAACAAAAATTCGAAACTTACCTCACTTTTTCTCGCTTCCACTTTTTTATTCCTTAAATCATCTTTTCAAAACATGCTTAGCTAAAAAGTCCACACACACAAAAGGAAGGCACATTATATATACAATATGCATCTCCATCTAAAAAGTCCCCCTGTTTAAACCAATACATTTTAATATTTACTTCTTCTCCTGCATATTTTTTCAAAAAGATTTGAATTCAAACTCATCACTCTAAGAAATGGGTTGTTGCATCAGCAAATGCTCTCCAAAGACAAAAGATTTCAAACAAGAAGAAGAAGAGCCTCAAGAGAAGTATTGCTATGTTCCAGAGAAGCTGTTCATGTCGCGTTGCCCAAGTCGAGTTTCTCCACTTCTTCTTCCTGATAAGAACCGGTTTAACCCTATCCTTGTCCCGGATAAGTTAATCCATATCCCGAAAAATCTCCCTCCTCCTTCTCCTCATGTAAAGTTGGCACCATCTTTCTCTCCAATCCAACCTTCAACCACAAGCAACTCCTCTCTCAGCTCATCAAGCTCGTCACTTTCAACTGCTTCTTCGATCTCGGTTTCGAAGGACCGATCTTTCTCTAACGACTTCTTGCGTGCTTGTTACCAAGAGAACTCACATGTCGCTCGGATCAATTCCTTACGAGAATCTTCTCTTTCTCTGAAAAACGCAAAACCAAGCCGGTTTAATTCCCCGGTTAAGCCAAACCGGATTTGTCCAACACCAAACAGAGCACATCAAAATCCGGAAAGAGGAGGAACAAATGGTTCAAAGAGAACCCGAGAGCCATCGCCAAACCACCGTGCATTGACACGACAAAAGAGCTTTCGTCAAGAACAAGAAAGGGTCATCATGTCTTCATCAAATTCTTTAACCAAGGGAAAGTTCTTGAAATCACCATCTCCAAGCAGGAGATTCGAAGGAAGTTTATTGAAGTCGCCATCTCCAAGCAGGAGATTCGAAGGGAATTTATTGAAGTCCCCATCTCCAAGCAGGAGATTTGGTACGACGGCGGGAGATTTGACGGTAAATTCAGTCTCTTCTTGTTTAAGGAAAGATAACTTAGATCTGTCTCGTCCCAAGATTTTTCCAAAGAACAACAGATCAGAGACTCGGATTCATCGTATAGGTTCTAAGATGGGCGAAACCGCTATCAAAGAAGTGCTCGAAAGCCACAAGGAACCGGTTGGTCCAATAATTGAAGAGATCGGCAATCCTTTAATTGATTTGGATTGCTTCATCTTTCTATAAGGATTAAGTTTTTTGGTCTTTGTGTTTGCTGAAGATTGATTGTGTGCACAGATAGGTTCTGTATTTGTTTGAGACAATTTCGTTTTTCTTTTGTCTTATGTTTTTTCCTAATCAAAGGTTTGTAATGATCAACAAGATCACAACTCTCATACGTGCTTTTATTTCTTTTTGTATGCATTTGAAATAGTTTGGATTGAATACAGCTAAAGGAGCTAATTATTGCTATGTTTTCAATTATACTGTCTATTTTCAAATTCAAATCTTTTAAATTTGTATAAACAAGAGAAACTGCAATTAACAAAACATAAACCAGCATACCGTTGATACGCAGCGTTTTAGAATCCGTGTGTACTGTTCATTTATAATGAAACGCAGCGTTTCGGATTCTTGAATGGCTTTTTCTTGGTAGACAAACAAAAATCTATCAAAGAAGTGGTTGAAAGCCACAAGGAACCGGTTGGTCCAATATTTGAAGAGATCGACAATCCGTTAATTGATTTGGATCGTTTCATCTTTCTGTAAGGATTAAGTTTTTTTGGTCTTTGTGTTTGCTGAAGGTGTGATTGTGTGCACAGATAGTTTCTGTTTTTGTTTGAGACAATTTCCTTTTTCCTTCGTCTTTATGTTTTTTTCCTTTTTCTAATCAAAGGTTTGTAATGATCAACTAGATCACAACTCTCATAGTTTAGGGCTTATAAGTAAAGCCCGTCACGATTTTTATACCATATTGTGTATAAATAGATCCCGATAAAACCCCCACAAAGGCCAATCTAGCCATAATTTAGCGAGAAACTCTCCAACTCTCTCCGTCGAACCATGGACGAAGAAGATATCTCCAGTAAGATCTCTGTCAATCTCTTAGACGAAACTGTTTGCTTAGATGGCGAAGATCTCACCGAGTTCTGTTTTTACCCCAGTTCTTCTGAGAGGCAGAACCACGTCTACTGGGACGTGGTGCAGTACCCAATCCCTCCTGGTGCCAATCTTGCAGACGTTAAAACTAGTATCAGAGCAGCTCTCGATCAGTTGGGACTTTATAGTTGTGAGACTATCTTTGCGTATGGTGACAGAATGAGCCACAGCAAAGATGATCTGCGCAATTCCCGCATCTTACACTTACCTCAAGGTGAATTGGCTGTGGACCTTCTTTTTAGAGCAAACCCGTGGTCTCCACTGAATTTTATTGTGATCCCAAGACCAGACACTAAAAGTGAGCTGCACAGGGTTCTCAAGGGTTTACAATCGAGACATAACAATATTTTCCTAGTGAACCCTAAGGTGCATGATGGTCCATTTGTATTTGACTCTGGACAGTCGATAGTTGATTGTACAGAAGGTTTAGATGGAGGAAAGCCTATCATTGGAGGGATAAGGATGGGAGATGAAACTCCTGTGATCAAAGATTCACGCAGTCTCGTTTCTCTGTTTGAATCTGTGTCTAAAGGTCCTGGGAGGACGGCGTTCGTCTTCTGGGACGTGGCCAAGTACTCAACCCCTACTAAATCCAATGTCATACCTGTTGGAACCGGTATCAGAGAAGCTCTTCAACGACTCGGCCATCATGGTTGTGTGGAAATCCTGGCGTTGGGTGCTGAAAAAGTGACGTTGAGGCGCGATGCTGACTATTTCGAAGAAGCCAGAATCATACGCATACCACAAGGGTTATATGCAAAGGCTTGGCAACTTTTCTTACGGTTGAATCCAGGACCTTTGATGATAATACCAACACTAGACCCAACGTTTCTTCGTTCGTTGCAGAGAAAGGGACGTTACGATCTTCTCTCAGTAAAGCCGCCTGTTGATGAAGGCACCCCGCAAGATGTTAAATTTCTACACAATGCACATTTAATACTTGGGTGTACAGATGGTTTCTACGAAGGGAAAAAAATCGGGAGAGGGAGAAGAGAGATTAAAGATATCCAAGACTTCTCCAAGCCTATCACATTCGAGAAAGGGGCAACAGGCAAGTTCGTGTTCGTGTTCTGGAACCTCGAGGATTTTCCATTCCCTCCTGGTTTGACTCCTGATGCGATCTATAAGGGAATCGAATCAACATTTCTTGCTTCTGGTTATGAGCTGGGGAACATGTTGATATGGGCGTATGTTGATGACGAGGAAGGGTCTTGGGGTGGGGATTTCCTGACGAACAAGACTTGGGAATCAAGTATCTACTTCCTTCCCGGAGGAGGTGATAAATCGGCGAGACGTGATAGAATGTTACATGACATACTTTTATGGATAGTTGACTTGGAACCTATTCGAGCAGATTTGGTCATAGTATCAAATGAAGCTAATATCATAGCTGACAAGGAGTTCTCCTCTACGCTTGGAGTGTTGGCTCAGATGCCTAAAAATGTTATCGTAGAAACTGGGAGCTCTTTTTTCCAGTGTTAACTTTATTACTTGTCTTTCATTGTTGACAAAAAAAAAAAGGATCACAACTCTCATACGTGCTTTTTTTTTTAATACTACTTTATTTGTATGCATTTGAAATAGTTTGGATTGAATACAGCGTAGGGAGCTTATGATTGCCATATTTTAGTCATACTGTTAAGTTTCAAAATTCAAATCTTATAAATTTGTAAAAGCAAGAGGAACTGCAATTGATGGCTAAAAATATAAACAAGAATACCGTTAATGCTTAATACGCAGCGTTTGAGGATCCGAGTGTGTTGTTCACTGCTTATAATTAAACGCAGCGTTTGGTATCTGAGTGTGTTGTTCAATGTTCACTGCTTATTATTGAACGCAGCGTTTCGGATTCTTGAAAGGCTTTTTCTTGGTTAGACAAACAAAAATCTATTTTGATGTCTTATCCAAATCCAACCAATGAGCAAGCAGATATAAATTGCAATATGCTACAACACTATCCCACTCTATCTTCTTTTAGTGTCTACCAATTTTTGTTACATCACTCGCTTTTACGCATTTTTTGGGGTTAGCCATGACACATTCCCTCTCTCCTCTCTTACCGGCTGCTCACGCCGGCAGCCTCTCCTCTCCATCACAGCGGCCTCGGCCGCAGAATCCTCCCATCATCCTTGAAGTTCCACCAGCTAATCGGAGGTAATCGTTTATGTTTGTCAGTCTCAAAACCAATTGATAGTAAACAAGAGATAATCATAAAAAAAGAGATAATCATAATGTTAATAAACTAGATTAGTTTTTTATATTATTTTTGAATTTTACAAAGTGAAATTCCTAACAAAACTATGAGTGGGGAATATCTATATAGGAAAGTTGTGGTGGGACTATGCAGTGCACTATGGAGTTGGAACGCTCTGAATGGTAAAGAGGCGATGGCGGCAGCAAGACGGCCTCCTCCGCCACCAACTGGGGAGAAGAAAGACCCGACCGTGACCGGACTTCTGGCGAAAGTTCTGGCGAGCAAGAAGCGTAAAGAAGCAATGAAGGCTTCTATGGCTAAATTAAGAGAGAAAGGCAAACCTGTTGTTGACGAAGAACCATCTTCTTCATCTTCTTCTGCTGATTCTTCTTCTGATCAATAGTATCCACGCAAATATCAAACCATTTCCATTCATCTATATCCCTACCAAATTCATCCCTATCATGTTAATCAACACTACTGTATCTCAATTTTTTTTTATGGTGATTATGTGCTATCAGATCCATGAGTAATTTAGCTTTTCTGAAATCATCATAGTTAGATTAAACAAAAATTTAGGATCATCAGATATGAAATATTATCAAACACTAGCCAATACACAACATGATTTATTATGTAAAAAACCCCATGCAAGAAGATTAAAATATAGATATATAAATTTTGCTACCTATTTCTCTGTTCACTATTGTGACGGTTGACGAATACTGCAACATCACAGTGTAGTCGTCATAACTCGAGTCATAAAAAGAGTAAAAACGACAAACTATTTATGACAGTCAATATAATCATATGTTTTTACCAAAATTGCCTCTTTAATCATTTACAACTTTCGATCAACGTATTATCACAAATCCGTCACCGTTACCGACTAAGCCATCGTCACATAACTTTCATTATTTGTGATGCTTACTTCTTACTTAACTCATTACAAATTGTTACAAAACTACAAAAAGGAAGAAAAAAAATAGTGACCCAAACATTTATTTAGGATTAGTCACCTTTTTGTTGTTGTCATTTTCTTGTGGCTTATGGAAACCATCAAAACGAAGAAACTGATAACCAACCGTCAAGATATACTACTTTATCAAAAAAAAAAAAAAACCGTCAAGATATACTATCAATAATCAAATATCATCCATAACCAAGTTAACGTTCAGAACAAATCGGTCCACAAACATATATCTCATGGAAATAGCCTTTAACAAAATACATACTAAACATTGCTAAAGAATAGAAGTAAGCAAGATAAGTAGATTTCATGGGAAGTTTAAGGTTTATATTGGTGGTACCAGTAGAGCACTTGGACCTAAAAATTCGAATTTGTAATCGACTCACAACTTCCTCCCTATATATCCATTTTTTTCGTTCTTTCTGGAATTGCATTTTCAAGGAACCAAAACCATCCATTGATCTTACTTACAATTTTTCAACTTTTTAAGGGGATTATTGATAGTTCGGAAGAAGCCTTGCATTGCATTGCATTAATTAATAATTAAGGTTCCTCAAATTTTTTATATTAAAAACCTGTCAAAACGCATTTCTCATAAGCACAGTTTTGGTGTTTTCTTTATACGCACCGTTTTCGAAGCCAGTGTCTGACAATTTTTAATTCACAGAGAGAAGAAGAGACTCAAAAACAAAACAAAAAAGAAGCTAAATTTTAAGTAACACAGCGCAGAGCCGCAGAGTGCAGACGTTACGCTAATAATTTCGTTTCTTACTGCCTATATTACTTGATTTGATTCTCCTTCTCTCTCTCTCGCTCTGTAATTTTCTCGGCAGTTTTCTCGGAAATCAAACAGGGAAGAAGAAAATCTGAAGCCACCATTCGTCCTGCTGCTGCTGCAGCTACTGTTCTTACTGATCGATTCCACATAATGAGGCTTCCTTCCCCTGGTCCCGTTGAGCCCAGGCATCGTTTATCTAGTCAAACGTAAGTCTCCGCTCTTTGTAATTCCGCTTTTCTTCAGTTTCTCGATACTCTCTCCGTTTGACTAGACTAGACTAGCTAGCTAAAGCGTCGGCACTTGGTGGATCCTGGCGGAATCGGATCGCTGTGATTCTCCGTTGTTTTCCAGTGTCAATTTGAGTTCGACTGTTGAAGGATTCTGTGTGTAACTTCCTTCAACTTAGGAATGTGAAATTATAGAGATCTGACTCTTGAGATTTAGAGATCGTGTTCCTACTGCTTTCCTGTTTTCATTTTGTGCTCGTTTACTTCGTCAATGGTGATCTAGCCGCCGATTCAGCTGAATTTTTGCTCGAGATGTAGTTTTTTCAGTTCCAAATCCTCGATTCAATTTCGTTTCTGAGTTGTGTGTAGCAGGTTGACTCCGTATTGCTTCCTATTGTACGCTTCCTTAGTCTCTTGTTTAGAGTAATCAGTAGACTTGTGGCACAGATTGCATTGATGTTAAAACCTCTGTGCTATCTTCCTACTTGTTGATTGACATATGTGCTATACATTTTGATAGCGATGACGCAAACCGGAGGAGATCTCTGAGAAGCCGAGACGGTAAAGATCTGGAGAAGGGTTTACATGGGTCCTTTCAGTATAGGAATTGGAATGGCAAGTTCCCTACCCTGAAAGTTGTGCTGGTTCTTATTGTGCTCGGAACTCTCTATACGCTCTACCGTTCACCAGCAGTACATATTGCAGACCATCCATCCAATAACAACTCTAGGTAATGTCACCTTCCCTTCACACTATCTCGTTTTCTTATGTTCATTTTTCTTTCCTCAGGGTTTGTATTTCCTAAATAGTATTAGAGGATTCTAATATGTTTCTACACTACATCTGTTCCCTGTTGATTAATGAGACTTTTGCAATTTCTAATTTCGTAAGCAGATGGACGAGAGAGCTGTCAAGTGCAATTGATCCTCGCTATATATCTACAACGGAGATAAACTGGGACCACATGTCCGACGTTGTTGAGAATTTGACTGGAAAGGCCGAGTATCAAGGGGTTGGTTTTATAAACCTTAACGATGATGAGATTGATCAATGGAAGGAGCTGATACCTGACTGTGACCATGTTGCATTGCGCCTGGACCATATGGCAACTAACATAACTTGGGAATCCTTATACCCGGAATGGATTGATGAAGAAGAACAATTTGAAGTCCCCACTTGCCCTTCTCTTCCTTGGATTCAAGTTCCTGGCAAGCCTCGGATTGATCTCGTCGTCGTCAAGCTTCCATGCAACAAAGCAGGAAAGTGGTCGAGGGATGTTGCTAGATTACACTTGCAACTTGCAGCTGCTCGAGTGGCTGCGTCTTCTAAAGGGCTTCACGATGTGCATGTACTTTTGATAACTGATTGCTTTCCCATTCCCAATCTTTTTATTGGAAAGGAGCTTGTTGCCCATCAAGGAAACCTATGGCTGTACAAGCCCAACCTTCACCAGCTGAGGCAAAAGGTCCAGCTGCCTGTTGGTTCCTGTGAACTTACAGTTCCTCTTAAAGCTAAAGGTCAGTATCAATTCTACATTTTCTTCACTTCTTTTACTTTGTACAAGGTCGTACATCAGCAGCATCTCATATTCCTTGGTCAATTGCATATCCACTGCCTAAGTTAGTATGGGGCGTATATATGTCAATACTCATCTAAACATAGGACCTGTCTGGTTTAGCATCGCCAATGATACAAAATTCCTAACCTGACATTATTTTCATGCAGATACTTTCTACTCAGCAAGCGCAAAGAGAGAAGCATATGCCACAATATTGCACTCTGCTAACTTTTATGTATGCGGAGCCATAACAGCGGCTCAGAGCATTCGCATGTCTGGCTCTACACGTGACCTGGTGATACTTGTCGATGACTCGATAACTGAGTACCATAGAGGTGGCCTGGCTGCCGCTGGATGGAAGATCTATTCCATCGAAAGGATCAGGAACCCGAAAGCTGAAGCAGAAGCGTATAACGAGTGGAACTACAGCAAGTTTCGTCTTTGGCAATTGACTGAGTACGACAAGATCATCTTCATCGATGCTGATATGCTTATCCTCAGGAACATTGACTTCCTCTTTGAGATGCCAGAGATATCCGCTACGGGAAACAACGCCACGCTCTTCAACTCCGGTGTGATGGTAGTTGAGCCATCGAACTCCACATTCCAGCTACTGATGGATCACATCAACGAGATCGTGTCGTACAACGGAGGAGACCAAGGCTACCTTAACGAAGTATACACGTGGTGGCATCGGATCCCGAAACACATGAACTTTCTGAAGCATTTCTGGGAAGGTGATGGGACTGAGATGAAGGAGATGAAGACACGTCTCTTTGGAACCGAACCTCCTGTGCTCTACGTCCTACATTACCTCGGTAACAAGCCTTGGCTATGCTTCAGAGACTATGACTGCAACTGGAACGTCGAAATGCTGCAGGAGTTTGCAAGCGACGTAGCACACAAAACCTGGTGGAGAGTGCACGACGCCATGCCTGAGAACCTGCATAAATTCTGTCTGCTGAGATCGAAACAGAAGGCGCAGCTGGAATGGGACAGGTTGCAAGCTGAGAAAGGAAACTTCACGGATGGACATTGGCAGATAAAGATCAAAGACAAACGACTAGAGACTTGTTTTGAAGATTTCTGCTATTGGGAGAGTATGCTTTGGCACTGGGGTGAGAAGAACTGGACTGGGAACAATTCTACTAACTCTTTATCACCGCCACCAGCTCTTAAAGCTCATCTCTCTTCACTGTAAGTTCTGGGGGTTTTTTACTACCGTATAGTTTTACTTTTTTTTTTTCTGGGTATACAACAGCCATAGTGTTCTTTATAGATGTTGAAATCCGTACCTATGATGAACCCGATTAATGAATTCGATGTTGTGCATTGAAGTTCTTGCTTTAAAACATTAAGAAAATCCCAACGATTTCAAGAGTTTTATAATAGCAATCAAAGACAATTTGACATTCCAGTTCATATTGCAGACACATTTGTGTTAATCGTATTCATATCTTAAAATGATTTCTGATTCAAATAAAAACAAACAGAAGTTCAATTAAAGACGACGAGCAATCTAAACAGCTTAAAAAATAGCATTTACGGATTAAACCGATCAGAGGAAAAATTCAAACATGTTTGGTATTGGTGTATTCTAGTAGTGGACTGGACTTACTAAGCAAAATTTGATTGTTATCTTTTGTTGGGCCACAAAAAGACCCATGAACATTAAAGCATCATGTTTGAAAATATATCCGTTTGACAAATCGTGTCGACAAGACTTACCCATATAATTAAAACCCATAAATATATCTGCCTATGCTTAAGGCAAGGCAGAGAACCAGAGACCATGAATAAGAAAATATTCTAGTAGTACCCACAATTTATTAGAAAAGTCAAAAGTCTTAAGACGAAGACTTGTAAAAAGTTGCTTCGTTACCCACAAGGCCACAACTTAAAAAAAAAGTCTTAAGGCAAAACTTTGAATTGGAAAAGAGTCTTGCTTGTACCCACCGTATTAAGACAAAAAATTTGTAAAAGATTTCTTAGTTACTCACGGCTTATGAGAAAAGTCTTAAAGACAAAAAGACTATGATGGAAATGAGTCTTACTTGTACCCAGGGCCAAATAGAAATTGAGCCATGTGCCAAAAAAAAAAATCCCGAAAATATAGACCTTAAATATAAAATTTTATAAAATTTATGATCTTAAAATGTAACAATAATCAGATGAAAAATGGCGAAACCATGTGCTTTTGCACTGTAGACACATCCCTAAAGTTGGGCCTGCTTGTACCCACAAATTATAAGAAAAATCTTAGGGGAGTTATTGGGAGTAAAATTTGTGTGGATTGTTAAAATTTTCAAAGCTAAGAGAATTGTTAAATTTATAAAGAGTTTTTGTTAGATTTGGAAAGACTATGTAAATTTAGAAAATCAATCAAAATATTTATTTTAATGGACTTTGAGAATCTAAGGGTTATAGCTAGGATTTTGAAAGTTTTGTTTCATGTGTTAATTTGTTTAAAATCCATCTCCCAATAACAAAGATTTTAACAATTCATAGAATTATTCAAATTGCAAATTTTTTGAATAACAATAGATTTTAAAAGTCATTAAACCAATAACAATGGATTTTAGTAAGAATATCAAAATCCATCAACCAATAACAATGGTTTTTGAAAATTTTAACAATCCACACAAATTCTACTACCAATAACCCCTCTTAAAGACAAAATGATGAATTATTACCCACGGCTTATAAGAAAGATCTTTAAGACAAAGACTTATAAAAGGTTGCTTAACTTCATATTGATTATCTTCATCGACGAAGTGATTGAACCCTTCAAAAATTAGTTATGAAGATGATCTGATTAACGAAGTGACTAGCTTTTTTATCTAAATGGCAAGAGCTCGGCTTGCAGAATAGTTTCCGCAAGATCCTTTGTGAGTTTTATGCATTACGGTATAAACTTCTTCACTATGAATACACGCTAAATATTGTTCGATTAGGCTTCGCTTGTACAATCGATATTCCATTATACAATAATGCAAGTTTTGAACTTTTAGTTTGTGAGACGTCCATTTATCGTTTATAACAGTATCGAGTTGGATATTACCAGAACGGTATGGATCGGAGTCACCACGGCTTATGAGAAAAGTTTAAAGATGGCTTATAAAATATGTCTTACTTAACCACGGTTTATAAGAAAAGTCTTTTAAAGATATGTAAAATATTTGTTAATGACCCACGGCTTAAAAGGAGTTTTAAGGCAAGATTGTGAATTCGATAAGAGTCTTACTTGTACCCACAACTTATGAAAAAAGTCTGAAGACAAAAACTTGTAATAGATGTCTTATTACCCATGCAGGGTTGGCCGTAAGGCAAGTCAAGTGAGACCTTAGACTCCATCCCCAAAATTTGCACGCACTTTTTAAGAAATGTTTTCAATATATATAGATGTATGATATTTATCTGCTATCATCCATTTGATAAAATGGCTACCCAAGAGATTAATATGTAATATGGCATCAAGCCCAATGGGCTTTTGTCATATTTCGATATCCGATTTCCGATTTAAACGTCGGCGTTTAGATAACACCCGACGTTTATGATCTCGACGTCTTTGGAAGATCTAATCAAATTTCAATTTCCCCAGAAAATGCTTCAACATTTGAGGAAGCAAACGAACAAACAGTGAGTGAGACAAAAAGAGAGAGAGATGGCGAGCTTAACTAGTAAGCCTAGAAACTTCGGTGCGTATAATCACTACGCCAGTCCCTGCACCCGCACGCACCAGATTGGAGCTCTGTTTCTCGTCGTCTCTACCTTCTTCGTCACCAGGCTCTTCGATCAGTGGTTCTCGGAATCCAACTCCGTTACTCCGAAGATTGATCTCCACCGTAGTTATTCTGCCGGAGTCACGAGCGATAACGGCATTCTACGGTGGCCGGAGCGAGGGTATGGATCCCACCTTTCGCTGAAGATCTACGTATACGATGAGAATGAGATCGACGGCTTGAAAGAGCTTATGTACGGTAGGGATGGTAGTGTGAAGACCACCGCATGCTTGAAAGGCCAATGGGGATCTCAGGTAACTTGATCATCCTCGAATCTCTCAGTTTCTGTGTTGAATTAGCATAATTTTACATTTGAGTTAACGATTCAATTATCCGGCTAATTAGCTAGTTCTCAATTTCATGTCATTACCAAGGAAATTTTTCTCGAACTAGTTGATTCCTGGATTTAGCATTGTAGTGAGTGTAATTATGTTAGCTACTTGATCATATTTGTTTCAGAATGTAATTCTTATGAGTTTTTTGTGCTTATGAATATGATGATGATAGGTGAAAATCCACAAGTTGCTTCTGGAGTCCAAATTCAGAACAAGTAAGAAAGATGAGGCGGATTTGTTCTTTGTGCCAGCTTATGCCAAATGTGTGAGAATGTTGGGAGGCCTTAATGACAAGGAGATCAATCAAACCTATGTCAAGGTGAATCAAATCATCAATCCGCTGATTCAAATTCCAGATGCTGTTGTTGATCTTTGGTGATACTTATATGTTCAAATGTTCTCGCACCTATAGGTATTGAGTCAAATGCCACATTTCCGAAGATCTGGTGGTCGTGATCATATATTTGTTTTTCCGAGGTATACAAGCTGCTATTGTTAATTATTTACTTATGTGGAACTTGATGAACTGTATCGTTCTGTGTCATCTTTGAACATTACATTTCTTTGGTATGCTATTGTAGTGGTGCTGGAGCTCACTTGTTTAGATCCTGGCCAACATTTATCAACCGTTCTATTATACTCACTCCCGAGGTACTTAGCTTGCTCTCTGCTGAGGAATTTCTTATCTTTTGAAGTATATTTTGGCAGTGAAGGGCCAATATCAAAGTTTCTCTGTTCCATATCTTTTTTCTTTTGAGCTGTGTTCTTGGAGTTTTGTTTTACAGAAAAAATTGTATGTTTCAATATTTGTGGATGCAGGGTGATCGGACTGACAAGAAAGACACTACCGCCTTCAATACATGGAAAGATATAATCATACCAGGAAACGTCGATGATGCTATGACTAAAAAGGGAAAACCTGATGTTCAGCCTTTGCCTCTGTCAAAGAGGAAGTTTTTAGCAAATTATTTGGGCCGTGCGCAAGGGAAGGCTGGTAGACTTAAACTGATAGATCTCTCAAAGCAATATCCTGATAAGGTTAGTCTCACATTGTTTCTTCAAAAGACTCTTCATGATTGTCTTTGTTCCTTGCTTGTTTCTCATGAGTGCTTCTGTGTAACAGTTGGAATGTCCAGACTTGAAGTTCAGCGGAACTGAAAAGTTTGGAAGGACGACATATTTCGAACATCTGAGGAACGCCAAGTTCTGCCTCGCTCCTCGTGGGGAGTCATCATGGACTCTTCGCTTCTATGAATCCTTCTTTGTGGTTAGTCTCTCATCTCTTTATCCCCCTCAAGTTTAATTTCACTGTCATAATGTATTGTAAAAAACGTGACTTTTGCTGCTTGCTTGTTCAGGAATGTGTGCCAGTTCTCTTATCAGACCACGCCGAGCTTCCTTTCCAGAATGTCATCGACTATAACCAAGTATCCATCAAATGGCCATCGTCTCGAATAGGCACAGAGCTTCTTGATTACTTAGCTTCAATACCCGGTAACTATGTTTTACTTATTCTTTGACAATCCATTGGATTTGCTCAGATTCTCAAGTTTTCAAAACTTTTTCTTGTTGTGTCTTTCACAGATGGAGACATAGAAGGAATGATAGCCCGCGGTCGGAAAATCAGATGTTTGTTTGTGTACGGGCCAGATTCTGCACCATGCAGTGCGGTTAAAGGGATTCTATGGGAGCTTCAACGCAAAGTGAGACATTTCCACCAATCGACGGAGACGTTTTGGCTGCACAATGGCAGTTTTGTGAATAGAGAACTGGTCCACTTCAGTAGCTGGAGACCTCCCATGCCTCTACCGTAGATTCCACTTGAATCTCTTGTTTTTACTGAATACAGTTGATATTTGTGATCTTTTACACAAGTAGATTCATAGTTTTCTTGTGAACTTAATTTTTTTGTACATACCACAAGAATCTCCGTAATGAAATTTACTTGACTAAAATATGACGAAACGCTCTAGTAGATATTTACGGTTGGTCTTTAATTGTTTGGTAACACAATACCAAATGCAGCCGCGTGTTGAGCATTATGGTTGCATGTTGATCTTCTTGGCCGAGCAGTGCAGAAAAAGAAAAAGAAAAACATGTGATGTGGAACGAGATTCTTTGCATTTATTACTCACTACCTAAAAGAAGCAAAAGCATCTCTCATGGGAATGATTTAAGGTCTAGCAGAGACTAAGGTGGCCAAGAACCTGTAAGCCTTTGTAGATAAAAACAAGAAGGCAGAGTTGTTTGTTTTACAGACTATGGTTTTAGAGATCAGAGTCAATTCGGCAGATTGGTGAATCACAGTGTATACTATTAGATATTCTCTGCTGAAAATTGATCTAGACGGATCAAAGGAAACTTATGTTTTGGCCGACATTCGATTTGGCTTAACAGAAGGAACCACATAGATGAGAGAGACGGTTGTCTATAGAAGGACAAAATTAGGTTTTGTTACAATGTATACTACCGACAACAATGAACCAATAATATAATCCCACGAAACAGAGTTCCACACGGAAAATCATCATTCCATGTTTTCATGCATGGCCCTTCTATCATAATGGGTCCTAATATTTTTGTTGGGTGTATACACAGCAAATACGAACTTTCTATTTCTGCTAGTATAACAAATTAATATATGTATATACTGTATACATGTTATGTAACATTGGACTTAACACCTTCCTAACAACTACTCTGCTCTAGGGTTAATCTATTGTACTGTTTTGCAGCAGTCTTTGCAAATGGCATACCAAAAAACATATAGAAAGTTGGAGGATTTTTCAGAATGATCTTATAACTTTGTGATGATGATAAGACTTGGAGTTTTGGTGGTTACTATGGGTCCAGCAATACAAGAGAGAGACATAAGGAGCTAGAGGCCAAAAAGTGTAGGTAAGAAGACTGCAAATACATTATTACTTATTACATTCGAATCCAACGTGCAAGGTTTTCAAAGAAAAGCACTTATGGAAAAGTTAGAAAGCCCTACCCTGAAGGGCAAGTAAGTATTTAATTCTGAGAAGTTATCATCAATCGATCTTCGTAAAAATGTGTCCCCGATCGATGAATGTAAGTACAACCGATTTATTCGTGTCAAGAAAACTCTTTCAACTTATATAAAAGAAACAATTTATCTGTTGAAGGGTTACATCAGGAATGAAGATTGAAAGAGAGAGAGAGAGAGAGATTCTGTATATTTATTACTGATTGTCTTTACTCTTCAGAGTTTATCTTCTAGGTTGTAGAAGTTTCGTTTGAATTTGATCACTCGCATGGCAATCCAATCGCAGCTATTACTTTATTATAGTATATCAAAACAAATTACAAATAAATGATGTTTTTATATAAAAGAAAGATAACACAAACAAAACCAGATTGAAAAATATAATAACATGAAAGAGGTATTCGGCTTGTTCGAAGTTCTTCTAACCAAAAGTAGTACAATAAAATAAGAAATGGAAGGTCGATATGTCTGGAAAAAAGGAAAGAGAGCTACGTGACTCGTGAAGAGTTGTGCCATGCCATGTGGTGTTGATACGAATAATATTCTGACATCATCGTTTCACTTTTTTGTAATTATTATTTCTTATGCTATTCAATCATTGACGTCGGACTCAAACCGAACCTCGAACGGCTATTTTCTCTATTATGATGATAATCTTGTGTTTGTAGTTTACTTAGTAATACTAGTAACCAACAAATTATTGAACGTAACTAGAAAGTTTCATTTGATTTCAAACAAAATGCTTTTCTTTACTGTCTTAAAACGATACAACACATTTACACTTTGGGATTTTAATACAATCACTATCAGATAACATGTGCTATTTTGTGAAAGCACAAATAATCCATTTGTTGACCCACATCCCAAGATATTATAACCTTCTACATTTTCAGATTCGGATGTAAACGTAAAACAGTCCAAAATGCTGTGGATAACAATCGTTCACACAAAAAGGAAGAGAGCATAAAGTATGCACGTTGCTTGCAGACTGAATAATATATCACAATCTGCTGTGCTACATTTTTGTCTTTGTCTACAGGTAATTTACATCACTTTTGTTCTAGGTAAATATCAGAATCTCAACAGATCTTGACGTAGGCTAACGACACACACAAAAACAAAGGCAACATTTGATAAATGCGATACAAGAGAGTATATATATATCTATTTTTCTCTTTTCAATATATTCTTTTTGATATCTTTATACTACTTTTTCATTGGGCGAATATTAAGATATATTTTCAAAATTTTGCTAATGCATACATAGCTATATTGTGTTTCTTAGGCTATGTACGAATACAAAATATCTAATGAACACGTGAGAATAGCCAATTACATGATTTTGTCCTATACAAAAACAAACATTTAGGTCATCTTCCATAATCAACTCAACTGCCGACGTTGATCCATTATCCTTAGCCTCACAATCGAACCAAATAGAACTGTTCTTGTTTGAAAATGATAATGGACCCATGGTTTGAGTCGAAAAGAATAACATGTGTGCTCGTTCGCTGTGACTACAAAACATTCCAGCAGGACCACTCTTCTTAAGAGCATCATATGGTTGTGTTTGAAATTTTGAATGGTATATGATAGTTGATGAATTTTTTTATGTATAACTATACATTTTTGTGATAACCAGGGGTGATCCTAAACATATATTATAAATTTTCATTTTTGTTAAAGGATATTTTGAAAAGTTTATAAATAAGATCCTACAATAATCTCTACTGACTGTTCAAAAAGAAAGAGTTATATAGGAAAAAGAATATCAACCACCGGCCAATGCACCGCAGAAATGCAGGCTCGAGCGGTCGAGCCTCGAGTCACACAAAACGTCACGCACTGAACATTCTGGCTTGTTCAGAAGGTACATAGTAAAGGACTAAAGGCAAAAGCTTTTTTTTTATGTGTGTTTTTATACAGTATCATTTTAGTATTTAACTATTGCAGTCAGATATTAATCTTAGAACACTAAAAACCAAAAAAGAAAAGCTACACAAAATCGGTTGTATTTCTTTAAATTTTTTTTTTTTTTTTTAAAACACATAGATCACAATGGCTCTAACCGAAAGGATGTCAATCCAGAGGGTCGGGTTCGCTTTCCGAGGAGAAAACAAGTAAAAGAGTAATCTATATGTACCAAAAATAAATTTGCTTAAAAAAGGAGAAATTTGTATGCACCAAATTATATACAGAAGGTACTGTATATGTAAAAATAAAAAAATTACTTGTTAGTTATTTTCTCTGAGCACTAATTGGAGTACTTTCCAAATTACAAATACTAGAAAACTCTGGTTATTTTATCCAGTAACATAAAATTCATGAATATTTGGGCCCCATACTCTTTAATTCTAAGATAATTGGTGTTTTCGCGGTGAAGCGGTTGGCATTTTTCTGCATATATACACGCTTGTCGATAGAAACACTCAGACTCAGCTCATTTTCTCTCACTTTCTCTCAAAGCTCACAAACAAGAAAAAGATAGAATCTTTCCACGCTTTAGAGATCAAACATGAACATCGCTCACACCATCTTCGGCGTTTTCGGTAACCCCTTTCCCTCAATCTCTCTCTCTCACTCTTTCTTCCTCCTTTCTCCATGCGAAATCACTGAGACTATCGCATTAATTTGTCGTTTTCTTCTTTACAGGAAATGCAACCGCTCTGTTTCTGTTCTTGGCTCCTTCGTACGTCTTCTTCCTCTTTCTCTCTCTCAGTTTCACCTCGTGAATCGATATTTGTTTTTGTTCTGTTCTGGATAATCTCTCCTCCATTGATTTCTGAAAAAAACACTCAAGATTCTTCTTTCTCTGTTTTTGTTGGTAACTAAAATCAGGATAACATTCAAGAGAATCATCAAGAACAAATCGACTGAGCAATTCTCTGGCATCCCTTACCCTATGACTCTCCTCAACTGTCTCCTCTCCGCCTGGTAAAATCTCACACTCTCAAATCTTTACGTTTTTCAATCTTCAAGTCTCACATTCGCTTTAACAACTCTGTTTCTGAAATTCCTCTGTTTTCCTCTGTTTTAGGTACGGACTTCCATTTGTGTCCAAGGACAACACGCTCGTGAGCACAATCAACGGAACAGGAGCACTAATCGAGACAATCTACGTGCTCATCTTCCTTTTCTACGCACCGAAGAAGGAAAAAGCTAAGATCTTTGGTATCTTCACCGCCGTATTGGCCGTATTCGCGACGGTGGCTCTCGTCTCTCTCTTTGCCCTCCATGGAAACGGTAGAAAACTCTTCTGTGGTATTGCAGCCACCGTCTTCTCCATCATCATGTACGCTTCTCCACTCTCCATCATGGTAAGTAAAAACCCACAAAAAGAGAAATCAAGATTTGGGTCTCTGTAATTTTTACTCAATTTGTGGCGATTCGGTTGATTTGACAGAGATTGGTGGTAAAGACGAAGAGTGTAGAGTATATGCCATTCTTCTTGTCTCTGTTCGTCTTCCTTTGTGGTACCTCGTGGTTCGTCTATGGTCTTATCGGTCGTGACATTTTCGTTGCAGTAAGTTAAATTCAATTTCTCCATTTTTGTTAGTCTTTTGTTAAAGTCTGAGTTTTTAACATTTTTGGGTGTTTTTTCTGTGAAGCTACCAAATGGGTTTGGATGTGCTTTAGGGACACTGCAATTGATTCTCTACTTCATCTACTGTGGAAACAAAGGCGTGAAAACTACAGATGCCGAGAAGGACGAGAAGTCGATGGAGATGAAAGGAGATGAAGAGAAGAAGCAGCCAAATGTGGTTATTGGAAAGCAAGAGCAGCAAGTTTGAAGCTTTCTTTAGGATTTGTTCTGTGTGATTTCGTTTTTAACTCTTCTGAATTAGAGTTTTTGCTTTTGTTGTTGTTAGAAGTAAAAAAACAATGCTGAAAAATGTAAGATTTCTAATTTCCTGCTGATAAACTAGTGATTGAAGTTTGAACTAATCGCCAAATTTGATATCTAAATTCCAAGAAATGTTTGTTCATAAGAACCAAAACTATACGTTTCCTTTGTAATATGGGGAAAAAAAAAAGAGAAAATTGTTCAATAAGTGTTAGATTAGTTTTTATAAACTGTGATAATCACTGATCTCTCTGGTATATAATACATGAGATGATGATTAAACCAGTTACAATAACCAAAGATTAACAATTAAAACATAACAAGAGTTTTTTTTCTTTTTGTATAAAACATAACGATTAACGACTATGTTACTTCTTATTTTACCTCCAAGCTGATGCAACAATCAAGCTTTTCTCCTCCCAGCCAAAATGGAGCTCACCCATTTCCTCTTCAACCTTGTACTTACTGCAATACTGCTGCTTTATGAGATTCTGCAACATGATCGTCACTCTAGAGCTCATCGGTCTTGGACTGAAACCAGCCATCATCATCCTCGCTCTCCATTTTCCGGCAACCTCGTACCTCTCAATCCGTTCTTCTCCTTCGCAAGCGACGATGTTGACAATGTCTCTAGCAAGACACTGTCTCTCCACGTTCATCCTCTCTTGGCTTTCCCTCGGAAGCGTCATGTCCAGCGACTCGAACACCGCGGAGTAGTACTCGTAAGCCTCCACGAATCTCGGCAAGAACGGCGAAGTGTTTGTGTTCACGTCTTGCTCGACCACCGTCACGAGCTTAGGGTTTAGGCTTTTCACCATGTGGAGCAGCTCGTCTCGCTGGTTCACCGTCGTCACGCTCTCGTCAGGCATGTGGTGAAGCTGGAACGCAAAGTTCACGATCAAGGTCTCTCCTTGTTTGCAACCTAGCGTCGATGGAGAGACAATCGATGTCTTGGAAGGCACGGCTTTGAACTTGAAGGACACTCCATGATCTTGCGCGTACTGTTCGAGTCTTAAACCGATGATTCTCAACCCTCCGATTGATCGTTGGACTGATTCAGGGTCGTCTATTCCGGTTAGCCTCAGGCGAGGACGTTTACCGGATATCTCAGCAACGGTTTGTATCAGTGTCATGTATTGGTTCCCTTGGTTGATATCGAAGTCGATTATGTGAACTTCTTCTTCGCCTCTGATGGCTTCGATGATGGCTCCGTTAGCTGCTAGGAAACCGAACTTGAAACAAGGGCAGACTTCAAAGAGGACTTGCATTGCAGCGAGCCTCTCATCAGAAGGAGGCTCTTTGCATTTCAATGCTCTGTAGAGAAACTTCCCTGAAGCAGCCATTCTTGCAGCTAAGCCTTCAACCATGTAAGCTGCGATTCTCTGAGAAGGATCTCCTTGGATCGAAACTACCTGCCTCAGCTCGTTCACCATTGACAGAGCTTCCTCTGATTTGCCTTCGGACAGCGCACGAGCGCAAGATATCAAGATTTGCTTCGGAGTGGAAGCTTGTGACACCACTTCTTTGCTGCTTACATGAGAGTTGGAGTCTGCAGATGAGGACTCTTTGGGAGAGTCTTGATGATGAGACCATTCGTTGTTGTTGTTGTTGTTGTTGTCGATCTCCATCAGCTGATCTATGCCAATCATTTTATCATCTTCATCGTCAAGAAGCAGCGCTCTTTCAAGCTCTTGAATCTTTGATCTCATTTGGTCATCATCAAACTCCTCCAACACGACATCCATGCTCGGACTTTGAGCTCCAAACAGCCTCGTTGATGAAGTAGAGGTTGAGTCAAACGGCAGCTGAAACTCCATGGAGCATCCAAGAACAGGTCTTGGCTGGTAAGGGAATGAGTCCAAAGAGCCAAATGAGCTAACCGAGGCACCACCGGAGCCAACAGGATGCTGTTGTTGTTGTCCAAACTCGTCAGTTGGTGAATCGATGAAGTACTTCTCATAGCTTTGGACTGGATAGGAATCATCAGTAAGACAAGTGTTCTTGGACCTCTCTGGATCAAAAGTTAGAGCAGAATTGGCGCCACCATTGTTGTTGTTGGTACCATTCTCGTTCAAAGAGTAAAGCTTTGGGTTCCTATATGGCTCTACCGACCTCACCAGTGACATGACTCTCGCTTTGATATGTTCTCGAGCCACAGCTTGTTCCACCATTCAACTGCAAACTATAATTGTTTCCTCACATGTCAGATTCTTAGAAAAACACCACGCTACTGTGATACTAACACTGTAAACAGTAGACCCTAAAGGTCAAAACTTTTAAGATTTTTGTTACTAATTTCATCATATATAAACGTAAATATTGGAGCTTTATCATCCAAATCTCATCAAAACAGTGACTTGACTGTGCAAAACATTTCATTAACACAGATTATCATCCAAATCCACTGAGAAGTGATTAATCTATGCGATTCCTCAAGACCATAACTTGATTAATCAACAAATTACTTCCGTATGTTCAATTCAGAGAAATCAGAGCACTAGGATCTCTGTTTTAATTGCAAAGATAACATAATCGAAACAAGTAAGTGAGATTCTAAAGATTTTTGAGCAAATCCGAAACAGAACAGCTAGGATTATACAGGACCATGAACAAAAAAAAAAAAAAAAAAAAAAAAAAAAAGAGAGATCGGTTGGTGAAGTCAATTACCAGGAGAGATTAGAGGAGAAGGGTCTTGGATTTTGGAGATGCCCAAATGAGATTTGACCAGAGGAGATTTGATATAAACTTCGGAAAAGCCAAAGGAAGAAAGAAAGGCTCAAAGGTTTGACCTTTAGGGGTCTACTGTTTACACAGAAGAAGACACTACAGAAAATGATAAAAATCCCCTCGTTTCTGATTTTGGTCTGTGCGTCTGTGGTCTTTGTTTTAAGATGTGTTTAAACGTTAAAGTTGCAAACTTTTAAAGACTCGTGTGGTGGTGTTAGGTTTTAGTTGAAAAACAAATTTCAGGATTTATAAGCAAAAACAAAAGAGAGAGAGAGAGAGAGACAGAGAGAGCAAAGATAAAGGTTGATCTGGATGAAGGAGATGTTGACTGGTTTCTTGAGAGGAGAGAAATTAAAAAAAAAAAATTGGTAAATTTCTTACCGAGTTTACACATTCTTCCACACAAATTTTAGGAGTAAAAAGTAAACTTGAATTTTTCTAGTCTTACTGTTCCAGAAGGTTAGTGAAATAATGATTTAATAAATTAAAATACTGAATATCTCACTTGGCAAAGAATCAGATAATTTTGCAGTTCCGTGTCTGTTTTTGGTTTTGATCGATTTTTGTTGACTATCAGTCGTTTTTTTTGGGGTAATATTTTGGTTTCTTGTATTTATTTTAATAATACTGAGAAAAATATGGGCCGTTGGATAAGCCTGGAAACTTATGACGGAAGCGATCGTGGGGTGACGAAGGTGCGTACGACAGTTCCCACTAATTGACATTTGCTTAAAATAATATTCACCATTTCATGCTGTTGTTAGTGCAGCTTAGCGTGTTGATTCTTATGAATTGTTCAAACACTCTTTTTTCTTTGTCAATTTGAGTAAGTACCATTTTTCTTCTACAAAAGTACTTTTTTTGTAGTTTAGAGAACTTTCTCATTTAAAACTGATTATCTTTATATATTTGATAGAAAACTTAAATCTGAATTATGCACCATATTGAATTAAAGATAATCGGGTCGAGTTCAATTAGTTTGATTACAATTCGTTTTCAACTATATATCAACAACATAAACTCAGGTTGATCACTGATCCTGCCTTATGTGTATAAGATGCTTAAATTATGTTGTTTACGATGTCTTTTTGTTGTTATTGTTGCACTAGCTTCATTTGGTGACTTAAACACTATTGAGCCATTATGTATTTACAAGTTTCTAAACTTAAGTGGGACATATGAAAGCCTACTAGTAAAATGACTACTAACGCATAAGTAATGATCGTTAAACAATGTGTGTAAAGAATCTAATCACAGTGTTTATTTTATTTAACCAGAACAAAAATTTGTTTATTTCAAATGTGACGAAGGATGAAGTACTTGAACATTTGACACAGTCTTTATCAACCTTATCCTCCCAATACCCACATAGGAAGACTTCTCTCTCTCAATCTTATCCACAACGTAACTTCTATTTTCTATTTGATACAACAAGTTCTTAATTTCCATTTTAGTTGAAGAATATATACATGTGTTATCCCAGTACGCTGTTATAAATTCAACCATTATAAGTATATAATTTATCTTCCAAATGAAAGTTATACATCCCATTGACTAAAGGTGCTTTCTTATGCTATAATGTTACCATTGTCATTCAAATGGAAGTTTCTTCGAGCAAATGATGTTACTAGCTAGTTTGCTGATGGTTTTTTCCTTTGAGGAAGTGTTAAATTACTATGGATGGAATATAATCTTCTACAGTTTATTTATTGTAACTGAAGTTATTAAAAAAGTCATGCTTTGGAATTCAAGATTAATATGAAAACTTGTTAAAAACTAGTAACGTAACTGTACCCATTTCTCTAACCTCGTATTTCTATGCCATCACTTCACAAATCTATGAAAAATCTACGAGTCGAATCGCCAATACGGGATTACGAATTGTACATATTAGTACATATGTTAATTAGGTTTATACTTGTTACTATTTAATGGATTAAAAAGAGATTATCAATAGGAAGTGGGATGTTTGGTCCTAAACACGCATGCAAATTGTGTTTTGGGTTCATATCTATTAGTCTCCGACAGCATGTCCCATGATTTCAAAAGCTCTAGTGATTTAGCCATTATTAGTATAATAATATCCATATCGTAGAAGAAAGATATAAAAGTCTTACATACAAAACCTATATAAACTCCATTTCACTAGCTAATTATAATCCACGTGTTGTCACATAAACGTTCTTTATCTAATTTATGTTTTTCTAAAATAACACGCACACAAAAACAGATGAGATAAGCATATGAGACAGTCTTACCAAATTACACAAGTAGCAAAGAAACCTAAAACACGTAAATTATCACCTGGACCAAAATTGTAATCGGTTTAGGTTTTTAATCTTCCTTCCATTGTAAACATCTACGTAGATATTCGGCCCAACAATGGTCTTAGCTAAAATGGAATACTACAATCCAAAAAAGCAGAAGCTGTTTTTTGTAAGCTGGTCCGCACATGGGTTCATTTCATGCCCAATTAACTTGAAACTTTTCTTCAAATCACTTTTTCTTGTCTATAAAATCTCATTCGTAAAGCTCCAAAATCTTGGCCAAGATGGAGAATCGTTTATATCTTGCTTGAATCAAGAACTTAAAATCAAGTCAGACCATAACTCCATAACCATAAGCAGACACTATTAGACGTGCGTACCTAACCATAGGCCCTGCATTGATGCTCGTATTTCGTAAGGTTATATTATGAATGATTTCAATTCAAATTATGGATTTAGAGCCTAAAGTACAACAATAGTTTCATCAGCATTCGACACGTGTTTTTTTGTTTCCGACCATTTGACACGTGTTAACTGAAGAAACTTCTCTTCTTATTTATCCGATTGATGCTCTCTTGAAACTGATTTATTGTCTTCTTCTTCGCTCACTCTCCAACTACTCGAGAGAATCTTCAAAGCTTCGACAATGTCGATGCTAATGGCGGCCAAATCCACTTCACTCTACAGCTCAAACCCTTCGATCTCACCCAGAATCAAGCAAAACCCACGCGCCGTCAGCTCGGTTTATCCGACGGTGAGAATGCAGTCACGTGTCCACCGTCTGATCGAAGAGCAAGGCGCAGTGCTTATTCCCGGAGTCTACGACGCATTATCGGCCGCTATCGTGCAGCAGACCGGCTTCTCCGCCGCACTAATCTCCGGTTACGCCCTCTCCGCCTCTATTTTGGGAAAACCCGATTTCGGTTTGATAACGTGCGCCTTTTTAGCGTATTCCCCCCTCTTTTGTTTAGTTTAGTCCAAAAAGTAAAAACTCAACATTCTGTCGTTTTACTTGTTATCTCCTGTCGTTTTAGTCCGCCGGAGATGGCAGCAACGGCGAGATCGGTTTGTGCTGCGGCTCCAAACATTCCCATCTTTGCAGATGCAGGCAAGTCTTCAAATCTCAAACCTCAAAACAAATTTCATTTTTTTTCCTCACTGTTTAATCAGAGACTATTTCATTATGAAATGTCAAGTGCTTTGTTTTGTTATTGAATATCTAGAACAATTATATGAATCCAATTAAAAACTCGTTCTTTGAGATTGTTCAGATACTGGTGGAGGAAATGCCCTCAATGTTCAAAGAACAGTAAAGGACTTGATCGCAGCAGGTGCTGCTGGTTGCTTCCTTGAGGTAAACTTTTTTCAGACTAGTCTCTGCTTCTAGTGACGGTTCAATGTTTTAATGATGTATTCATATGCGTTGGCTTTTTATAATCAATCATACTCTTTTTGTTACTCTCTTGTGGTACCTTACTTGTATTGGATTGTGTTCTTCCTCCTGTACTTCTTGATCTTTGCTAATAATATTTTCGGGTTTCTCACAGGACCAAGCATGGCCAAAGAGGTGTGGTAAGAGACTAGACATCATCTTCTTGTTCCGAAAAGATTTAAGCTTTTGTCAAATGTTTTGAATTGTGATAAACCCTTTTGCTTACTAAGTTACTATTTTCTTTCGTGCAGGACATATGCGTGGCAAAGAGGTATTGGTTTCATCTATATATGATTCCTATTCCTAAGCGATTTTAGGTTCTAACGTCTAACATTTGGTTTCTCACTTGAAAACAGGTCATACCTGCAGAGGAGCACGCTGCTAAAATAGCATCAGCGAGAGATGCAATCGGAGATTCTGATTTCTTCCTCATCGCTAGGACAGACGCGCGTGCTCTCTCCGCGAAAACAGGACTTTCAGACGCCATTGACCGTGCCAATCTCTACATGGAGGTTACATTTTAACCATGTTGTTGTTGAACAACACTTAAGCTTTGAACTTTTCTAAGAAGACGGATTGGAAAAACTTGCAGGCAGGAGCTGATGCTTCCTTTGTTGAGGCACCGAGGGACGATGACGAGCTTAAGGAAATCGGAAAGCGCACTAAAGGTTACAGAGTGTGTAACATGCTTGAAGGCGGACACACGCCATTGCATACTCCTGATGAGCTTAAAGAAATGGGTTTTCATTTGATTGCCCACCCACTTACCTCGCTCTATGCATCGACTCGAGCTCTCGTCGATGTCCTCAAGACTCTCAAGGAAAAAGGAACCACCAAAGATCATTTGGAAAAGATGATTACTTTCCAAGAGTTTAACCGTTTGGTCAACTTGGATTCATGGTATGAGCTTGAAACTAAGTACTCAAACCTCAGAAACGCTCTTGGCACTACAAAATCATGAGATTCTATAAGCTAAGATCTTGGACAATGTCATCAATAATGTAATCTTCTTTTTCATTCTCATTTGCTATGAAGATGTGTGTATCTTTATCAATAACATTTTGTTTGTTAGCGTATTAAATAAGGCTATTCTAGCTTCTTCTAAGACCAACAGAACAGTCTTTTTGACATTTTAAAAACTCAGAAAGTTTCTAAAGCTTGTTCATGCATCTCCGACAAAACAGAGAATCGATGTCTTTAGCAATGTCCTGAGCATCTCTCGTAATGCCAGCCAAGCCTTGTCTCCCAAATCCAACACTGTACAGACCGTTCTTCCCTTTCCAGTGCTCCGGGAACTTGCGTTTCGGCATCCCGTTCTCGTTGAACAAATCTCCATCATCGACCTGAGTCACATCATCAAAGCAATTAGATAACAATCAAGAACAGAGTGTTTGTTTCCTCTGTTTTTAGGAGAAGTTTGCAGAAAGTACCTGAAGCCATTTCGAAACGCTGCTCTTGTAACCAGTAGCGAAGACAATGGAGTCGACGATTTTGGTATTTCCATCGACGAATTCCACTCTCTTCCCTTCTATACGCTTAATCGACGGCACAACCTGAATCTTGCCGGACTTAATCTCGCCGACGCAGCCGACGTCGATGGTTGGTGACCGGCCGGTGATAATCTTGTTCATAAATGGGCCAGTTTTGGGCCTCACAAGCCCATATCTTGAAGTACTCCCAAACCTCAGCTCCGCGAGTAACAGACACCAACGGTCAACTAATTTTACCGGGAAGTACCTGAGCAGCCACATTCCGATCCGTACAATCCCTTTCGTCAGCACATGCACCTAAAAAATATTCAAAATGTTTATTTTGGTTTTCATTTTCATTTTTTGTCATTCTTGATTCATTGTGTTATACTTACCGGGCTACGAACAACGATGGAGACCTTAGCGTCCCACTTGGACAGATCATAAGCAATCTCCATTCCGGAGTTTCCACTACCGACGACCAAAACATCTTTTCCGGCGAATTTCTCGCCGTTCTTGTACTTGCTTGAGTGCAGATACTCTCCTTTAAAGCTCTCCACAAGCCCCGGAATCTCCGGAATCACGCCTTGGCCGTTCTCTCCCGTCGCCACGACCAGATACTTCGCCGAGTAAACTTCTCTCTCCGACGAGGCTGTGTTCTCCACCTCCACGGTCCATCGACCATCTTTGAAATACGCCGATTTGACGTTCCGGTTGTACCTAGGGTTGATGTTGAAACGTGTGGCGTATTCGTCAAGGTAGTTGATGAAACCTGCCTTGGAGACGAAGGTAGGAGTGTTTGGAGGGAATGGCATGTGAGGGAGATGGCAGAATTGCTTTGCGAGATGGAGCTTGAGACAATCGTAAGACCTTCTTTTCCAGAGAGAGGCACTGCAGTCTTCTCGTTCCACCACTATGTTCGGTATGTTCAACCGGTTAAGACAGCCTGATGTGGCTAAACCGGCTGGTCCTGCACCGATTATGAGAACCAGAATCTTCTCCATTTTTGTTGTTGTTGTTGTTGTTCTTGGCAGTGTTGTAGTGCAAAGCTGTACTTAACTCTGCAAGAACTGGAGTGATGTGTGTGTGTGTATTTATATACATCACTGAAAGCGTTGGGTAACTAAATCATTAGGATTACATAATTTGAAAATTGGTAAGTTGTTTACTCAAATTGGTGAATCATAGGATATGTTGGAAGATTCATATGCTTTGGGTGCTATATTTTGGCAAGTGATTTGCTGTTACCTGTGTGGAAGTAGTCTTTAGATTGAGTCAACACACGGTTGTCATTTTAGGATTTCCTTAATTACTCTAGCCAATAATTTCTTAACTACATTAAAACCTTTTCCAAGTATTTATTTTTCCAAAATAATAGTATTTCTTAACAAGAGAATTTGAAAAAAGGTTTCGTGCTTAGGTACAAGTACGGAAAATGGAACACTATTTAAGTAGGGATATCATTATTGCAAGACATAGTATTGCTTACTGTCGGACTTTGTTTATGTCCATAATTAGTAATCTGAGTTTGACAAACGAACCTGCTAAGTGTTAAGCAGTGTATATTAATGAACAATCCTAACGCGAAGAAAAACTACTATAGGTGAATCATCTTAGCTATTATCTACTCGTTAGTCATTAATTTGACTTAAGCATTATAGTTATAATTTACAACTCAAAAATGGAGCCGCGTAAATACAATTTGCGATGTAAACTTAATTATATTGAGATGTACAGTGTAGGTCTTTATTAAAGCCCAGTGTAGTGGTTATTATTAGCTACATTCTAGTTCTCTTCCAAAGAACACAAAACAATATTTTCTTCCGCTGCTATTTTGCAGATCTTTTAAGTTTTTTTTTTTTTTTTTAAGTTAACAACGAAATGTCATTTGAATTGTGTTCTTTTAGTTTCATTGAAGACTGTTATTGGCTTATTGCCATTGAGGCTGAAAATCATGTTATTATACTAACCTCGATTACTAATTGACCAGTTGACAACTTGACATCATAACATTGCAACGAAGTATATAATTTTAAGATATCAAAGTTAAGCACAAAGGTTCTATGGTGTAGTGGTTAGCACTCTGGACTTTGAATCCAGCGACCTGGGTTCGACTCCCGGTAGGACCTTTATTAGTTTTTATTATCAAAATAAACTTTTATAGTCAAAATTTTATTCTCATTATATTTTTATCTGCCATATAACTAGGTTTGATTCCCGGCAGATCATTTATTTTTTATTTTCTAGCTTAGTTTACATACATATTGAAGGTCCAACACATTTTGTTTGCCATAGTGTTCACCAGCTTCCTCTTAACGGGAGTCACACTCGCTGTTTCTTTCTTCGCCGTCCGCTCCACCGTAGAACTAGAACTATCTCCTTTGGAACTCATCTTAATTTAGCCTAAAAGATATGTATGTGTTACTGTGTATAAGTTTGTGTATCTATGTATATGTGTTTGTTTGTTGGTTTTGTAATTGCGAAGCCGTGCACAATGGGTTGGTTTATATAGAGATTCCTCTAATTGAGTATTGTTAACAATCAAACTTCTACTCTTAAAGTTAGACATGCATGTGTTTGACAGTTCGACTCTAACATAGAGCGCTTTTGTTACTCGTCCTGCATTAATAATTTAAAGCCGAACAAACTGTAATGTTTCCGCTGTGTTTGGCTTTTAACGATATCGCTCATTTTATTTATTGATTTTAGACCCACAAAATATTGGTTAAAGGACTTGTTGTGTTGTGTCGACTATCTTTTTAGAAAATGAATACGACATTACAAAAAATTTGATTTCATTTTTTTTTTCCGCTAAAAATAATATTAGAAACCTCAAAACCAATAGTGTTCAGCTCTTTGGAAAACAGAGCATAAACCAAAAGCCACAAAACTCAAAAAGATAATGATAGAGAAACAAAAATCCCATTACAAAAACCTTGCTTTCATTTCATAGTTATCTTCTAGAATTCAACATGTAATGTTGAAGCCGAACAGCCTCAGCTTCTTCTGCGGTGGTTCCCATGGTGCCGGTGGTGGTTGAGAAATCTTGCGAGCGATAGGCATTATCTCCCATTTGTGCTCCTTTGTGGAGAAGTCATCATCTCCCATTTAATCTAAGATTTCATGTAGAATATATTAGCTAAGAAGAATAAGCTTTTATGCATATACAATAATACAAACGACAAGAGACTGAATGATTGTATGTAAAATATAATTAGGAAATGATAAGATTCGATTTATAAATGATAAAACCAAGCGATATAAATCTTGATTGGACAAAATTTTCCAAAACCCAAACACGAATTTTAAAATCAAGGCTTAAATTAAGAGACGGGAATGGAAATGTTGTACCTCTAACATGCGCCACGAACCGTGGATCTTTCCAGCGAACGGTGACGGAGGAGCTACCGAGACAAGTACTCCTTCTTTGAGGTTCATATCTTCTAGATGGGAAATACTTCACCACACCAACACAATCGGGTGTGATTGTCCACACCAAGTATTATTTTAAAATCGACAACGACAATATGCTTGTCCACAATTTTCTAATATTATTTTACGTCAAGTGTACATTTTTTGTGTATATCCAAATAGTATAAGCAAATTAACAATAAAATTATAAAATAACGAAACTCTATAAACAATTTGTAAAAATTATAGAAACTGTATTTTATAGATGAATTTCAGTTATGCTAAAGAAAGGTTTAAAACATTTCTATATAAAAAAAAACCTTACAAATATTTTATCATAGAAAACTTATATATTATTCCTTTGCATTTAATAACATTGATCAAAAGGTAAAACACAAAATATGACCCCATCCCGTTTTGTTATGTGTAAGCTAAATACTACTGATTTTGTCAAAAATCTTCTACCAAGTCAGAGAAAGAACAACTCAAAAGCTCTTAGGTTGACATCTAATCCCATTCAACATATACATATCATATATGCATTCCTCTGTTTCAATGAGCCGGGTGAGGAACCGAACTGTGAGCGCGATGAGCCTTAAGAATACAAGAACAGTGCACAGAAGTTAAGCTCAGACAACCGCTCATGACAAGCGAATGCCTTCCCGAACACGTGTGAAGAGCCGGGAATGTATCGCAAACTGCTTGAACCGCTGAAGGTGTAAGGGCAGTGCATTGGCTGATGTTGAGACTTCTCAGCCCTTCTTCATCGCATTTCCCTTTCTTAACCGATTTCCATAATCCCGGTTTGTTCTTTACACCGCTTTGGGCTAGCGAGTACATGGCTCTGTCTGTTATGTTTCTGCAGTAGTATAGCCCCAACGACCTCAAATGGACACACCAATCTGCTAAAGCCACCACACTCTCATCTGCAAATTGTTACATGGCAAAAACAAGTTCTTTAAAGGGTCTCAAGATCAGTAGGTTTCCGAGTAAGCGTGACTTACCTGTAATGAGAACACAGCCACACAAGTCCAAGGTCCTGAGCTCTGGACACCCATAAGCTAAACTCATAACTCCATCATCACTGATATTCTCACACCATCCCAAGTTAAGTGACTGCAACTGATTGCAGTTATTCCCAATAGCCTGCCCACAACAGAAAGGATAATATATTTCTTTATCAACAAGTCATTCTAACAAAATGAGTATAAGAACATTTTGATAAAGGCAAAATTATACCTCCAAGGTATGGTCAGAAACAGCGTTGACACATCCGCAAAGATTCAGAACTTTGAGCTCTCTGCAGAATCTGGTCGAATACGCAATAGCAGTGTCGCTAAATGAAGTGCATCCGCTAAGGTTGAGTTTTGTGAGGTTAGGACAACCATGAGCGAGTGCATTAAGCGAACGGTCGGTAAGCTTCAAGCTTTTGCTGAGATCAAGATCTTGTACCTCATGGCAGTGATTTGCTATGGCCTCCACTGCATTGTCCTCTAATTGTGGTTTGTCCTGCCGCAGTATCAAATTCTGCAGCTTTACAAACTTGGGAGCAAGAGAAAGAACCAAGCTGTTCATGTTGTTGTTGCACCTGGTTAAAAATAACAAGAACAAATAAACAACACCAGAGAGAGTAGATAAAAATCAATCTTCATACACTGTAAGTGACAAGGAAAAGATTTTCAATAGTTCAAAGACTCAAGAGTGTCATCTTGATGAGATGTTCCTCAAAAGAAAAGCAACAAAAAAAGATACGATCTTACACAAAGCCAGACGATCAATCAACCTCACCCTAAACCACAAGATGAAAATAAGACTTCAGAATCCAAAACACCAAAACAGAGAAAAGATGATTGTTGTGCGGTTAAGAAAAAGGGTTAAGAGAGAGAGAGAGAGGGAAGATTACCAAGAGAGACGGAGACTAGTGAGGCCAAGAGAAATGGCATCTCTCCAGCCACAGCAAACACCAGAAGCAACAATGACATTCCGATCATCGTCAAGGGAAAGGATCCTCATCAGAAGCTCAACAGGGATGTCTTTCCACTCTTTGATCGAGATTCCTTCCATCTTCATCTTCTGAAAGCACTGGTCTAGTTTCATGGATGCTTCTCCTACCATCACCATCTCTTTAATAAGTGACTAATAAAGCGGTTTCTTGATCCTATCACCACTTCTGAAAAAATACAAGCTTTGTTCTCAGGGAAACAGAACAAAGTTTTAGTAGACCTATGAGTTTAATGAAAGTTCATATTTTGCTCTGGATTCTAATTTTTTTTTTCAGAAATGGAAGAAATTATCTTTCAATTTTTGAGTAATCCATTATTGACTCACGTAAGACCAGAGGATTTGCTAGTTTGTTTCTGTATAAGTTAACAAAACATAATCCTCTCGAAGAACAAAGATCATATAACTTTGGCCTTTCTATCATACCTTTGGATTAGTTTCTTCGTCTCTCTTTCTTGATTCTTTTGTTTCCTTCCAGCTAATTAGTATTTCGTAATATATTTGCTCTTTTACACAAAGCTATCCTCCAGAAGATAACAGAACAAAAAAATAGATGAGAATAAGTTTTGATTAAATGGAACGGAAAGAGGACGGATAAAACGTGAAGGAAATTGCTTTGTGACGCGTAAGCTGCCATGTGTTTTATACTTACTGGTAGTGCCACATACGTACGTAATTTTATATGTTTTGTGGGACATCTAAAATGCTTTGATGTTTGAGTACCAAGCTCCACATAAATTAATTTGGTAGTATATTTTGTTTTGTTAATAACACTAATTCAATATTTAAAAAATTCTAATTCAAATAAATACGCCAATATTTCTTAGCAACAAACTTGAAACGAATACTTAACTAAGGAATTTATTTTTTGAGTTATAAAAATAGAAGAGAGGAGTGGTTGATTGTAGTATATGTGCCAAACTCAAAAGCGAAAAGTGGGCAACTTTTTGATTAAAACCGAAGCCGCAACGAATAAGATCCACTCATTTTCAATTCTCTAGTTAATTCGAGAACTTCGAATAACAATTGCGTATAATTTTGTGCACGATTTCTTTTTTTAATTCTGTAATGTTAACAAGATGTTAAATATTTATATTCCTGCGTACATTTAAATATGACCGTGAAGTTGGCAGAAAATGTAGAAATGTTCATGATGCTGGTAGTTTCTACATTCATAATCGGGTACAATTCGATTCCTGGGATATCATATTATTATTTGCGAAGTCAGAATTTTGAATGGAGGCACCACGTTAACTCTCAGTCACGGAATTACCGAGTTACCCTTAATGAAAATCTATTATTAAATCTTCTGAATTTTTTTTTTTAATTATTTCACAATTTCGTTTTATTATATAAAAGTTTATTATTTCTTTATTAAATATTGATAATTATCCTTTTTCTCAATTTATATTTATCACTAAAATAAATATCCTAACTACCATATTACCGTACCACTTTTTTGGAAAAAAATCAAATAATTAGGTATTTTACAAAAACCCTAGATTTTACAACCGACTTAATCCTATTTATATAAATAGATTGTAACAAGCAAAATAAACAGAATTTTCGTTTCTTCTTTTTTCGTGTTCTAAATTCTTCCTTTTGTCATGTAGGATTCAAAAGATAGAAAAACCAATAAAATATGAGCAGAGAAGGTGGATAATACTAAACATGCCTAAGAACATGTATTCAATAACATGGAATTTTTTGATTTTAAGTCGGTATGATCACATGACATCGTCGTAAAAGTCGGCCATGATTTTAGTGTTCTTTCTGTTTTATGTTTTAGATAGATTGTTCATGTTAGTTATTTTTAATTCTCTGTATTGAAGTGTTATATGTTCATGACAATACGTGGTTTAAATACAAACCTAATAATTTGTGTTCTCTGATCTCTTTTTTCATAGCATCTGAAGAAGAGAAAAAAGAGTCGTTGTGAGATAGTTGATCTAATACAAAACGTATTAAAAATCATGGCTTTGTCACTGTTTGAACCTAGGGTTTCATACCAAATCCTCTATAAATTAGGTTTTAGTTCGTAGATAGTTATTTTGTAATTTGCCAAATAATTAGGTTTTAGCTGATTTTCTTCTTCTCTTTGTTGTTATTAAATTTTGTTTGTTTACGAGGTTTGTACTGGTACAAGAGAAACATGGCTTCGTAAATGTTCAACAAGAACAAACCAGCTAATTTTTCTGCATTGGCATAGCAGATGTAACAAAGGTGTTAAAAGGTTGTTGCTTTGTCCATTACTTTTGCAGGGGGTGAACTGAAAAGATTAGAGACACATAAGTTTAATGTATGTTTAGGGTTTAGAGCATAATGAGAGCTACGATGATGAACATGGAGTTGATTAAGTACCATAAACTAATTTAATGTATGTTTCATTAGTGCATGAAAATGAAGAGAGCTACGATGATGAACACGGTGACCCTGAAGACGTGCACATATCTACAAGAATGTGGACCGTCCCGGAATGGGATGTTGACAGCTTCGACGGCTACAAGTATCACTCCGCTGAGCCAGATGAATTAAATGGCGCTGCTACAAACGCCAGGTCATGGGGAGCAAGGTAACAACCATCCATACACTTTTGTTTGATTGTTTCTTTTCACTTAGAACTTAAATTCTTTAAATAGAAAGAATATCTAATTAACTAAACTTGCATATGGTTTCAGGGGTTTTACGTGGAGCCAGGGCTTAGGCCTTTGTATTGCTTAGCCGGTATCAAACCTGTAGGTGATTTGGAATTGCATGCGGGATTCGGCCAAACATACTGTGAGTATTTCGCGGAGATGGCTTGCCTCTGCCTCCAGAATACAACCAAGAGCACAACAAAATAAATATCCGTATTGTTTTTGTGTCTGGTGTGGGTGAAAAAGATTGCTTATCGTCTACGTATCCTTATCCTGTGTATATAAACTTAGTCTATGTATCTATATTAATTCCATTGGAAACAAATACGGTATGTTCATGGTTGTTATATAATTCTACTAAATTATGTTTGGTTTATGTAGTGCATTATGCTGATTTAACCCAATCAATTTGTTTCTCTTTTTCCTCAAGTTTCCATCTTTATACGGATTGCCAAAAAAGGTTCACCACGTTGATAGCTTGATAATTATGATCATGATCATGTGTTCACCACCATCCGCACACAAAAAAAAACAAAAGAAGAGATAAGTGATAATTAGAATAAGATGATGCGAGAGAAGATGAAGATGATAAAGATAGAGAGAGAAGGGGAATGAGAAGAAGAAAAACCAGAAAAAGAACTGAAAGAAAGAAAATTAGAAATAAAAAGAAAAATAGTGAATTGGAGGATGTGAAGATACAAGAAAAGACTGAAGGACAAAAGTTGAAAGAAGAAGAAGAAGAAGGAAAAAAAGATGATGACAAAGAATAAAAAAAAATGGAAGAACAAAGAATAAGATGTGATCAGTAGAGAAGAATAAGAGGGTGAAGAAAACAACCATTACAAAAGATTTTTTTTTTCAAAAAAATAAAAATAAAATAAATGTAAATCCAAAACCAATTTGTAATGTGGGGTTCAGCTGTGTGGTTTAGGGGCGGTATAAGGTGGGTGTGGGTTTAGGGTGTAAGGTTGTTTAGGGGGGAGTTGTTATAATGTGGGGTTTAGGTTTAGGGTGTAGGGTTGTTTAAAGGAGAGTTGTTATAATGTCGGGTTTGGGTTTAGGGTTTATATTGATGGTGTAGGGTTTAGTTTTTTGTGCATTTTTAAAAATTTGAACTATTATATAAGTATATCAAAACTAAAAATCATTGATTATAAATTTATATCTACCATTCTAAACTACATTCAAATTAAAACAAATCAAGCAAATACAAAATCAAAATATAACAATATAAATAGTTTTTTAAAAGATTTAGACTATATAAAGATAAAAACTATTTCATGAATCCTTGAAAATCTAAACTATCGAATGGATTGATAAGTGAAATACAAGACGTAAACAAGAATGAATAAAGACACGAGGAAAAGAAAAGAAGATGTGAAACTTCGAGAAGAAGAAAACTCGAACATGAAGAAAAAGAAAACAATGAAGAAAATATGGAATGTTAAGAGAAAAATACAATGAAGAGATAAATAAAAATTAAAATAAGATTATGTTAGAGAAGACGAATATGATAAAGATAAAGTGAGATGAGGAATGAGGAAGAAAAAAACCCAGAAAAGAAATGTAAGAAAATTAGAAAGAAAAAGAAGAATAGTGAGTTGGAGTTCAGTAAAGGAAAATAAGAAGAAGAAAGGGAAAAAAAGTGATGAAAACGAATAAAAAAATGGAAGAAAAAAGAAGAAGATGAGATCAATAAAGAAGAAAAATAAGAGGAAGAAGAAAACAACCATTACAAGTTTGTATGTATCAAATTAACAAAAATGTCAAGCTATTGTATCTTTGAAAATAAGAACATTACAAAAAGATGAAAAATAATTAAAAGAAAATACTTAATCTAATATTAATATTCCATTTGTCCCAATTTATAAGCAGTTTTGGTAAACACATAAATCAAGAAAATTAATTAAAACAATAAAATATCACTTAAAATATAAATAAATATAATTTAACCAATCATAACAAAAAGCAGCAGAACATAATTGGTCGCACAATATTTGATAAAGTAAAAGTTGCATTGAAATATGTAAACTGCTTATATTTTGAAACAAAAGATTTGCCCATGAAAGTTGATTCATTAAGGTAGGGTTTATATTGGTGGATGTAGGGTTTAGTTTTTTGTGCGTTTTTTAAATTGTTAGTTCTTGAAAATTCTAATGAAAAGCGAAATAGCAAAACAACTAAATTGTTTAATCTTTTGTTCAAATCATATCGATTAAATAATTACATTTCAAATTCTTAAAATATCATATGAAATTTTGTGCAACAACAAAAAATTACACCAAATTAAGCAAAAAATATTTAATTCAAATAAAAAAGAGTTGTTTATTATGTGGTTATGGTGTACTGTACGATGGGGTGGGGGATGTTTATTTGTAGGGTTAGGGTTTAGAATAGAGGATTTATATTGGTGGGAGTAGGTTTAGTTTTTTGTGTGTTTTTTAAATCCTTATTTCTTACAAATTCTAAGGAAAAGAGAAATAG